GCTTTTTTTTTTTTTTTTTTTTTTTTTTGGTGTGTGTGTGTGTGTTTGTTTTTGTGTTGCGTATTTAAATTAAGGCAGGAAGAAGTAGTATTGTGTTTTTGTGTATTTGTATCAAAAGAACTTAATTAAGAATTAAGTAAGAAATTAGTTGTATAAGTTTGTAGCTAAAGATCTTTAGACATGTTTTCTGTAAAATTCTTTTTATTTGCATTTTTTAAATTAAAAAAAATACTATATTTGAAGTAAACTATTTTAATAGAATATAATCTATTATTTTATTATAAATTTTATGTAGCTTGTTTATAAAAATTATGTTATTTTTAGTTAAGCAATTTGAGGAAGCTATGACTCCTGAAGAGAAGCAAAAGCTCTATGAAGCTATCGGTTATCAAGAACAGCCCACTATAACTGAATACCCTAAAGAAGTATTTTTAATATTTTTCTTATAAAAATTTATGCTTGACAGTTATAATATGCATTTTAGTTAAAAGAAATGCATGTAGCTCTTTCTTGTGAAAGTGTGTAATCTTTTGATTTGCCTTATAAACGATCTTGTAATGTATAATTGTAGTAAAAGGCTCTTGATTTTTTAAAAATTATAATGCAAATGACTGTAATATGATATATTGCTTTATGTAAATTTGATTGTTTGGTTGATTAACCCAAACTTCTGTAAAAACTTTTTGCTTTTTTTTTTAATACAACTTCAACAATGTAGTAGTTAGTAGAGCCTGATTGATTCTCATGCTTTTGGGTTTGAATCCTAGATAAAGCAACTACATGTGACAAAAATGTAGTATCTTTTGAGAACTTGATAGTATAAAGTGAAGTTTATTTTATGAAGATATTCCTAAGGAAAGGCTTATCATTGTGAAGGACTATTTAAGGGACATTAGTTTGCATCTGCGTTGTACTTGATAAAGACATGAAAGACAGGTCACTGTTAGTAAGCCTTGTTTGATACTGCTTTCAATTAAAAAAGCTGCAAGTTATAAGACCAGTAATCTTGCTCCTAAGAGGAAGAGATTGCTGATTTTTATACTGCTGAATTCATTCTTGCATATTATAAGTGTTGCAGTCTTTTTAAAGATTTTTTTGAGATATTTTTTTTTTTTTTTGTAAATATTGGATTTTTAAAATTCCTGAAAAGGTAGAATCAAATGAAAATTAATATCAAATGTAGAGAAAATATGAAAATTGATTTCAAATGTAGAAAAAATTATAAACTTAAAATTTATGCTGCACATTTTTATGATGTATAAACCTGTTTTGTTGTTTAATGAATAACATGTTCTTCATATGCATGAATGTGTTCATATGCATAATTAAAATATTTTTTCTCTTTTATAGTTTGTTGAAAATAAGCTACTGTTTCTTTTGCACAATTTAACATTAGTGCTTTCAGATGATACAAAAAGGTAAGGAAGATAATTAATGTGCTTCATTTTATATTATGATTAAAAAATACAATTTTTGCTTTTAAAGTTCAGGGTGATCTAAAAGGCACACTTATCAAAATTTCAAAATGTATTGAAATTCCAGAATGAATATTGTTGTATGCATATGGATTCACAATACATTGAATGCACACAGGTCCGATGATAGGTTGATAGAATTTATTATATCAAAAGAAACATTTCAGAATTGTGGAATTTTCTACAGAAATATTCGTACAGGTGTTCACAGTAACACAGTGTACAATCAGTAAATAAACTATCAAGAGCGTTAAACATAATGCAAACAAAGTGCATCTAAAATCCAAAGGTTTCAATTCTCCAAAGTTGCTCTGAATTAACAACTCGCAACAACAACAACTGAGAGTAGAAGCTCTCTCCGACCTTATATAGTTTTCAAAACTACAGAGATATTTCTAGTGCTTTTCAGTTTCTCAAAATTACTTGAAGGTATATGGGGCCAAGTACAGTTACACATGAAATAAATTGCAGTTATTTAATTACAGTACCTATTATGGTGGCACAGAGACCAAACCAAAATGGCGTTAAATTGCCGCCAAGTTTGGCGACTTTTGGTGATTTCTCACCAAATAAGTGAGATAGCTTTTGTTTGATAGACTAACCCCTGTATTCTAACTTTTCTGGAAAGCTTCACCCTTTAAATTTTCTTGTTACATTATACAAAAGGATTGCAACAATTTCACATATAATTTCACTAAAATTATTTATCTATGTGCAAAATTCGAAACGCTATTAATAGCAAACTGTTTCAATGGATGATGCCCCTTTATTGCTGCAAGTGATGTCACTAGAACTGTCAGTTATAGTTTGTACTGTAAATTTTCCATTTGTTTAGTGCAAAATGGAAATTAGTTTTCTCCAAATGGAATGAATTTGTATGATTGAGCATTACTCTACAACAAATAAATTTTGATTCATAGCCATTTTTTCACACTTTTTGTGACCTTTTATTCCTAACTTCCACAAACATTTGAGATAGTTTCTTTAAACTCTTCAACCACTCTTCTATAAAATCACGTTAAAAGTAACAGCAAAAAAAAAAAAAAAAAAATATATATATATATATATATATTAGCATGCATAAACAAAAAATCTGAAATGTTTCAGATTTTAAATACGTCCAAAGGGGTGTTTTTAAACATTTTGTGTGTTACCTTTCTTTATTAAATATCATGTTCCTCGCACTTAAACCATAAGATCCAGTGCAACAGCAATATCGCAAAATAGTTTAAAACGACCATATCTTTAGAATTTCCGATACAGAGACTCACGCGCTGGAGATAAAAATGTTTTTTCTGCACAACGTTGCCATTTGCTTCGCTTTGAATCCTTGAGTTTGTTAATCAAAAATTCGTCAAAGTTTTAAAAAATAGGAAATCGATCATAAAACAAATTTCAAATTTCAAATTTGGTCTTCCACATGCTCATATTCGTTGGAGGATTACGTTATTCAAAATTCGATGACTCTATGTACCGTTGTTTTATCACAATACGAGAAATTTATGCAGATTTTTCATTATTTAATTTCTTCAAATATAATGCAGGACTCTAACATTTTGTGGCAACAGTTTGAAAAGTGAACCGACATTTATGAGTCCGACGCAAAATGCCAAAACGAAACTAATAGTCCTTCGGGATTCAAATCCCTTTGGACTAAAAAAATTGTTCTGCTTGAGAAAACTCATCTCCATCATGCTCCAAAAGCTAACAGCGTAAACTCTAACCAAAATTTCTAGAATTTTCACATTTCTTGAAAGTTTGATATATATTACTTTTGAATCACCCTATATATGTAATATGATTGTAGACAGAATATAGAATCTGATTGTAGAACACTTTATATTTCTTTTACATTATATTAAAATTTTAGAGTATCACTTGTAATTAGAGGCTTTGATTAAAACTTCTAGTGAACCTCAAGTCTTAAAAGCAAATTTAAAAGAAGTTTCTGCAATTGTTGAACAAAGACCAGCTGCTCAAGGCTTAAGGTATTATTTTATATGTCTATATATTACACATGCTTTAAAAAATGTCTTCATTAATTTTTTGGTACCTTTTTTTAAGGAAATTTACTGATTTTATGTTTTTTTTTTAAATTTTAAATGTCACAGCTGACTGGCTACATGCATTAAAAAATTAAGTAGTTTGCATTTAAGGCTTTCATGAAATTTCTGTTTCAAAAAGATTTGTGAAAAGAAGTAAAATTTGAAAATTATAATTTCATTCATTTTTGCCAATTGTTTTTATATTTTTAAACATTATATGTGCCGATTTCAAAAGCATTTTATTTCATTATTTTATTTCTGTAGGAAGAATAATTTTAGTAAAATAAAAATCTTTTATTATTTTAATTTTTATGTATTAAAACGAATCTTATATGGCAAGTAATTTGCAACATTATCCCAAAATTAAAATATTATTGAAGATTTTCTTCATCTTTCCTCATTTTTCTTTAATATTTTACTGCAGATTAGCAGTTCACAGTTTTTCACATAAGACTTGCATTTCTGAATTTTAAAAGAATGGCAAAATATAATTTCAATTTCCCAAGTGCTGTAATCAGAAATTATGTCTGAATATATTGCATAGTTCCAACTTTTTCCTTTGTTGTTAAACCCATAGTAGCTAATTAATGTTATGATCAAACAGTTGTTAGTCACAGTAAGGAATGTTAAAAAGTCTGCATCCTTGAACTGTTTAAGTATATGTTTATGATCTGTTTTGTTAAAGTGATATGTATTATCCATTTAAAGTAATTATTTCCAAATTGAAGTAATATCCAAAACCTTTGACTTAATTCTGAAATTCATATATATTTGCAATTTTTTATTGAAGTATAACTGCATGTTCATTTAACTGCAGCAATTTTTGAATATATTTACAAAATGTATAAAAACTTTTTTCTCCCAGTTTTGATGCCAAAATTGAAAGCTTTATTGTAAAAGGTGTGCCTGCTGGAAACATTGTCCCAACTATTGCAACATCTCGTCAATCAGTATCAAGTAATCTTCCACTATTAAATATTTATTTCGAAGCAAATCCTTTGGATGAGTCTTGTGATCAACGACTGCATATTCATGCACAGCCTCTTGAAATAACTTACAATGCTGTAAGAATTTCTTAGAAAAGTTATTTTGTAAAAATGTGTTGAATGCAGATTTTTTTCCTGTACAAAAATCTATTTTATTTATGATAATAAATTTATTTTAATGAATTTATCTTAATTTTTTTAGGTAACAGTTAATAATCTGGCAGAAGTGTTTAAGCCTCCTGAAAATACTGCTCTTCAACAGTACGTTTAAATAATTTTATTTTCTTAAATAAATAATTATGTGTGATAAACTTCTATGCTGATTTTTGCGCTGAAAACAAAGTTGAACTGTCCATGATATTCAAATTATGAACTCAAAATATCAATAATATTTTGTGTAAAAAGTGTAATCATATTTTTTACTCATATAATGAACAGCCAAAAATTAATAATAATTAATTTCACTCAAGTATTTGTACTGTTGATTCCATTTATGATGTACTCTTCAACTGCATCAGAAAGGAATTAATATTATGACAATGATTATTAGTTGTGGTAAGTTTATATAAAAAGTGTACTTAATTATAAAATGTTTATTCCTAATGTTCTGTTTTAAGATTTTATGCATGGCTGGATTTACATATAAGTCACACAAGCTATAGCTTAGGGCCCCAAATTTCTTGGGGAAACCCCCCCAAAATTAAAATATAGTATAAATAGTATTACTATAAGACTTATGAAGGCCTCGTATCTCAAATAGCTTAGGGCCTGATCAAGTCTAAATCTGGCTCTGATTTTATGGCTGTCAGTTGTCCAGTTTTAATGATAATTTATTCAGAAAAGAAAAATGCTAGTGTTATTTTAAATGTACTTATAAATTCAGTGCATACTATTGTTAAGTTTTGGATATTTTAACCCTAAAACGTAAAAAATTGTACTGTTACTAAACAATTTAAGTTTTTCAGTGTAGTGCTTGTATTCATATAAACTAGACACAGAAAATCTTGGTATTTTAAAATAAATTCATTGCTAATAATAAAGGTATTATTCATTAATATGTAATAGTGGTTGCAATAGTGAATAATGTATGCGTTTTTTTAAAAAATATTCTTTGATTAGGTACATAGAATTGGTACAGTGTTGTAATCAATCTTATAAGTTTTACATAGGTACAGTATGAAACTTGCTTGCAGGATATGTAAATTCTTTAGAAATTTAAGTACAGTATAAAGTCTGATATCCAGATGTCCAATATCCGGAATGATCTAAAATATGGACCTCAAAAGCCACTACCAATTTTTTTTAAATTTAATTTTATAATTATTTTTTGGTGTGCTGTACGCATGCACATTTGAATCCCCCTTGCCCATAATAAAACATGTGGAGAGTCCCGATTCTTAATTTCATTTCGGCACAAAATAAAAATACCTTGTTATTGAAGAAACAATCATTTACACATAAATTTGTGAGATCAATAATTTGGTTCTGTAGCTGCCTGGTCATACATTTCAAACCAAAACTTTCCACAGATACATCGTTGATTTTACACCTGCTAATATTTTATACTCCGGATGCCAACCTCGCGAATCATTATTTATTATATTTTGCTTTCATCACCGCATGGTTATCAACACATGACAACAGGAGAAATGATTTGCGGAGCGACACCTAAACCCTTTTTTTTTATATTAGTAATTGAGAAACATGATGGTAACCTTTTATGTTGACATTACGCTTGATGATGATTACAGATGTAAGTTAGATGCACTAAGAAATGTTGGCAGGAAAAATTTAACAAAAATTTCTTTCCGTATGCTAAAAGTATATTTTGTTAATGATACCTATAGGCCAAAGGATTTAGTTTTAGTGCTATTTAATTAAGAATAATTGATTTGTTATTCATACAAACCCAGAACCAGCACCAGAGTTGATAAGGCCACACTGGGCAGCAAAATTTAGAGAAGCCAAAGGGAAGCGCTTGGTAGCAGAATCTAGGAGCCGCAGAGACTGCATCAGGCACCTGCCCTCAATCAGCCTTAAGTATATGTGGGAATGTATTTATTCAGGACTCAGATAAACATTAAGCATGTACAAGAAATAGGCGTAAGTATAATAAGTAACTAATACAATTCAGGCTCAATTGTCTCAGTGTGCGATAGAAGCAAGATAAAATTTAGTGGAATAACTTTGTCTTTAGTTGGCAATTTCATAATACATAGTCAAATATGTATAGTGAACGATAGCTAAATTTTATGATGATAGCCGCGAATCTGAAGGCTTTCGGATATCGTAAACCAAAGGTGAAAGTTACCAATTAGCGGATTTTGTAAAGAAATGTAGAGAAGCGGTAATAAATGTAGAGGATATAAAAGAAGTTTTTCACTGTGATGACAATCATCAATCAAATACCGAATGGTGAAATCCATAGTTTGATTCTAGATCACTACAGACTGAGTGACAGAGAGATGAAAAAATTTTGATTGACAAGTTAGTCGAAATTCTAGACACGGCAATTACAGGACTTCAACAATGGAACTTTGCAACTGCATAAGAAATTATGTCTGTCTGTAGAATTAAAGAGAATGTATTAGCACAAGAAAACAAAACAACTTAAACTACTTAAAAGAAATGTTTAACAAAGTAAAAAAATAAATATTAAGCTTTTTTTTTGTAAATTTTGATACCCTTTAGATCATAAATACTTCATTATTTCATAAATCATGGTTTCATATTTTTAATTTTATTATTTCTACATGCTATCTTACTAGATTTAAAACTGATGATCTAATATCCGGAAAAATCCCAAATTCGGAATTGCCGAAGTCCCAATGAGTCCGGATCTGGGACTTTGTACTGTACTTTCTAATAAAATCTAAAGAATGAAATAAGAATTTTTATGTTCATTACTGCTGATGTTAAAAGAAACAAATGGCAAAATATTTCTTTCTGTTCCATATGGGTATATATGAATGAATCATATTTAAAATTAAGCACACAGTCTGATTTTTTTTATCTTTTGACAATGGTAAAAAATGCAGTGTTGAAGTTAATAAAATTTTATTCTTAGCAAATTTCAATATGAACTAATACAGTTAATTAATTTGAGGAATATTTTTCATTTATAATATTTGAATAATTACCTTTAAATTCAGAAATTAGTAACCTTTTATGTTGAAAATCAATAGTTAAGTAACTATCAAGTGAGTAGTTAATTATATATAAAATGAAATAAGCTGTTATTTTGCATATCGATTGTAGGAGAATTTTAGCACATAATTAGTGAGGTCATATGCAACCAAGCATTGTCTTTGTTGGATCTCCTCTTAAATGGATTATTTTAATTTTTTATAGGCTTCAAGCAGCAGCTATGTTAAAATTGGAGGATTTGAAAGAGATGTCTGCATTTGGTCTACAGTATGCTATTGAGCAACATAAATATTTGGATTTAAAAGTTGACATGCAGCCTGTTTTTATTATAATTCCTGAAGGAGGAGTGTTTACTGAGTAATAAGTCATATTTTATTTATCATAGAATAATAGTAATTATGGTCACTAATTTCCTTCAAATGAAAGTGCATAGTAAAATGCTTTTCTAGAAGAAAACAAGAAACAGAGAGAGGAGGGAATTCTTTTGTGCTTTTATGTAATATGTTGTTCAGTTTTTATATGATTTTTTTCAGTTTAAGTTTGGAACATGTAGATATCTAAAAGATAATTCCAAATTTTACATTGCATTGTTGTTTATTCAGATTAAATGAATAATAATGGGAGGGGAAGGGTATCATCATCTTGACTTTACATTCATATAGAAATTTATGCAACAGATAAAGAAACATGTATTCCTTCCTCCTCCAAAAAATATATGTTTCTAGTGACTTAAATTTATTTAGATTTAAGAGCTTTTATATTCATCAAAATCCATCATTGGTTATCAGTGGAAAAGCATTTTCATTCTTTTAAATGTTTTTAATTAGTTTTAGATGCAAACTGTCTAAAACACCAAAGAATTGCCCCAAAACAACTTTTCCCATCTTTATACACATATTCACTTTTTTCCATCAATTGCTATTTACTATTTTATAACATTACCTTCCATGGATAGTAATCCAATGAATAGCTTTAAAGCTAAAAACATTAAAAAAAATCTTAAAATTTTTAGAAAACATAAATTAAAAACGGGTAAATTAATTTAATGGGTCACAAAGGTAATCCACTAATTGAGCTGCCTTATTATTACTTCTAATAAACATGGGTACCAATTGCTGAGTGCAATAACTTTAAATTATCATGAAATGAATTTTATATTTCTTATTGATGAATAAAAATATTTTTGAAATTTATTGGGAGAAATTTTCTTGTTCTTTTTAAGTTTGTTGAATGAAAAGAAAATTGTGTTTTGAATGTTATATTAATTTGTGAATTATTGCCAATATTAGTCCATGTAGCATTTGCAAGGAATCTGCAATTTAGAATTATAAAATTCTTTCTACTGGAGTGTTACACATATTTTAGAGAAAACAGAGAATTTATGGAAATCCATGTCCAGATGAGCTAAGAAAATTATTTAAATGTGTAAAGAAAGCCATTTAAATACTTTTTCCAAGCTAGAGAACTTTGTAGCTATTGGAGCAGAAAAATGAGATGTCACACTGATTATTATGATTACTTTTTTAATCTAAAATGCTCTGTGTATGGGAAGAAAAATTTGTTTCTTTAAATTTTACCAGAAGAAGGGAAAATGAGATAAACATTAATCAATAACTATTAAGATAATTTATAGATTATTGATTTTAGATAATTGATTTCCTGTTTAGCACATTATGTAGAACAAATCTTCAGGGCATTGTAAACATAGTGTAGAAGATGTCAATGAGATTTGTCTTAAGGTAGGTAGGAAAATGTGTCTTATAAATTGTGCTGTTGAAATTTATTATCTGCTGTAAACTCTAAAAGAAAGTAAGAAAATTCAAAAATTTGACTCCATTTCGAAAGTGAATTGAATGTGAGTGTCAGTGGAGTTGATAATGTTTGTTTATTAAAATTGCTTTTTTTATTGAAAAAAATAAAATTCAAAGTAAATCCAAAGTAGGAAAACTAGTTGGTCTCAAAGTAGCATTGAGAAATCTTTCTGCAGCAACTAATTTAATCTGATGTTTCTAAATCTGATTTAAAGAAACCTTAATAGCAAAATAACTTTTCAGTTTTGATTCATAAAAAATGGTATTCACAATGTCCATTTTTGCTTTATTTTAATTTTTTATGGTGTAAAGTAATTAGAACATTGGGAAATTCTAATAATTTATTGTAAAATATTATTAATAAGTAATCCAAAAATGTATTGATTATTATTTTTTTTTGGCTAATGAATATGCATTTTCTAAATTATGAAAAATAGCATGAAATTCCCTTCCACAGTTACTGAAATTAGCATTCCATTTGTGTGACTATGCTATGATGCTTAATGTAAATATTTAGTTGAATGCAGTTAAATATAGTTTTGATAATGGATTCATATATTGTTTAAAATTTCACTGCAGTTTTTATACTTTTTATGCTTGATTTTGGGCTTAAATCTTGTACATTTATAGTTTAAAATTTAATCTCCTCGCTAGTAATAAGAATTTAAAATCTAAATTGTTGTTATTAGTGAGAAAATAAACTGAAATACGATGCTAGAAATAAATTATGTTCAGTGTGCTCCAGAAATTTCACATTTTAAAAATTAATACTGTAATCTCTTTTTAAATTTTGTATGTATTTAGAATTTCCTTATTTCTAAAACATATTTTGTTATACAATATAATAATGCTATAAAATGACTTCACAGAACATAACAGACAGAACTTCTCAGACACTATAAATGTTCTTGACAGAATTTTTTTGATATTTTTCTCCAGGAAATCAAGGCAGTCAGAATGAAAATAGAAAATTCTCTCTCTGACTATAACCTTGGGAGTTAGTGTAATGCTTAATAATATAATATTCAATTAATTTTTTTTACTGCATAAAATTCAATGAACTCAAGGTATATTTCAAAATTAGAAAGAGATTGGATGAAGAACATAATTTTGTAATGATGTGATGAAGAATATAGTTCCTTCTGCATTTATCATGTAAATAAAACAAAAAGGGGATTTTTCTATTTATTGGTTTTAAATGTAATTAGCATAATGTTTGAGTTTCATTAAGCACTTATGTAATTTTTTAGAGAAATGAGAAAATTTTGTATGTATCAGAAAGTTTATTTTATCATTCATAATCAGTATATTTGCTTTAATATTTACACACTGGTGTGCAAAACTTAAGCAACAATGTAAATTTTAATCAGATAGCCATGAAATTGCAAAAAAGGGATTCTTGTGACCAGTGCAATGAACATGCAATTCAGTAGAAAGGTCATGCGTGTGGCAAACGTCAGAAACAGGTGATGTGATCGTATGCAAAGTGTGTGTGGTTAGCACACTCAACTCAAGACTACAATAAAAGGAAGGATGGAGACACAATTAAAGACTTTCGCTGCAAGGAACTTTTTTATGTGAAATGTGGTTAGAACAAATTACCTGGATGACATCACTAGTCAGCAAGTGCCATAGTTTAACAACTGTGTACAGCAATGGGGCGATAAGTGTTGCAGTTTACTGTATCCAGATGCCTTCACAAAGGTGGCCTATTCGCCCACCATCCTGAATCCTCGCTTCCCTTTGAAAGTTGGCCATTGGTGCTACCGTTTAGAGTGATGCAAGGAGCACAAAAACTGGACATCTCATCAATGGAGTCATGTCCTCTTTACGGATGAGAGTCATTTTAGTGCCACAAGCGATTCTCAATGCCAGTTGATATGGAGAGAGGTCGGGACGTGGTTTCATCCCTGTACTATCACGGAAAGAGAATCTGGAGGTCACGTCTGATCCTGGAGTTTTCCTCATGGGAGGCGTTATGCTGAACGGGCGGACAGAGCTTCACATTTTCGACAGAGGTTCTGTAACCGGAGATTGCTATTGTCAGGAGTAGATCGTTCCCCATGGGCATCTATTCCATTTTAGCAGACTTCGTTTTTATGGATGACAATGAACAGCCACACTGGACTCCTGTTCATAAGCTGCTGGAAAGCAAAGATATCACTTGAATGGATTGGCCAGCATACTCCCCTGATTTAAATCTCATAGAATATGTGTGAGATGCTTTGGGGAGATGCCTTGAGGCACGATTACGTCCTCCGGGAAACACTCAGCAACTGAATCAGATGCTGATTGAGGAATAAGCACTCTTACCTCAAGATCTGTTGGACAATCTGGTGCTCAGTATGGAGAGGCAGTACAAAGCAACCATTGCAGTAAAAGGAGAGCGTATCCCATAATATCTGCTTGTTCTTCCTCTTGTACAGATAATCATGTGTAATGATACTATGAGTTCATTAAAGCCTTTTTTTGTTTGATTCCATACTGTACACATAGTAATCATTTTTGTGCAACTATGCTTTCATCATCATTTAAATACAAAATGCAGTCTCTCATTTCTGAATTCCATGTCTCTCGGAAGATTTCTCATGGAGTTATGGCAAAAAGAACCCTGTTGCTTAAGTTTTGAAACTGTTGTAATTTAGTTGACAAATTTTGCTGCATTTAAAAAGATGGATTTTCTTTTAATTTTTATTTTTATCTCATGTTTGTTTATTTTTATATTCAAGTACTTATATCTTAATCCATTGCAAATTTCTTTTTTCTTGTTGAAGTTTTTCTTACGGTATAATTATAGACAAATTTTTAATTCAGATATATATTTTTTTGTAGGAACTCTTACCTAATTGTTGTCAGTCTTGGCAACTTTAAAATGGATAGTCATAAAAGAGATCCTACTTCTCCCACTGTGAAAAGTCTCGTTAAAGCTGGGAGTACAGAGGTAAATTGAACACAATTAAATGTGTAAATGAGTGTTGAAGTAATTTTCTATTTTTGTTCAATTGATATTATATGTATTTAGTATAATTTTCATTTAAAACAAGATTATTAAAATAAATTTTCTCTATTGCAGAATTTTTCTAAAATAGTTTAGAAAAACCTTTATTACATTATGTCTAATTCGTGACATACTTGGCAAAATATTACATTTGATTTAGTGAAATATCTTCAAATATTTTTATGGTTTGTGTGTGAGTTTTGTTCTTCATGGAACAAAGGCACATATTTAAATAGAGTGTTTAAATGTGTTATTAATTTAGGAAGAAGTCTTGTCCACAATGATTGATAAAGCATATGACAAATTTGAAATAGGAGTAAGGAATGTTGAAATACTACTTGCAGCTCCAGGTAAAAAATTCATTCGAGTGCTTTAATTGCATTATTTAAAGCACACTTGAATTTTTCTGATGCTTTCTATATGCTTTTATTTTGTGTTTTTGTTGATATACAGTTCTTTTCAGATGAGAATTGGAAAGATGCTATTGGGCAGTTACATGATCCCCGACATTTACTTTATCCTTTATCTATTAATATTGATTTTCACAAATCTATAGTTACTGTTGATCCTAGGATGCCACAGTAAGTATTTTACATAATTTGGTGTAATGTAACAAATTAATTTTCATGATTAATTTGGTATGCAATCATAATTAGTTTAATCAGTATTTCAAATGATTGTCAAGGGAAATGTAAATTTCAAAGATCTGAATATTTCGAGTTTAACAAAACATTTTAGTATAGATAAATCTTTATTATCAGTGCAACAGTTCACAATTATTAATTATCTAAATATATTTAATTATTGGTGGAGTGGTGGTGCTGTCTATTAATAAAAGTTGGAAATGCTATTTTCATTGGCTGATATCAAATTGTAGACCTAGTGTGTTTCTAGTGAGTATTTTACTAACTTAAATAGGCCATATCTTTTATACAAGCAAGTAAAATCATTGTATAAGCCAGTCTAATGTGCAGTATATTTTGGAGGTGCAGCTGTAGCTTAAGTGAGTCTGTTGCACAAAGAGTCATTCATATGATTTTCGATATTTTTTAGAGCAATATGGGCTCTAGAATGTTGAGGTGCATATATATAAGTCCTGGTGGGTTAAAAGGAAACCTTAATGCATTAAAAGTGCATTTGTAGTTACTAATGTTCGTTGTAGATCCTGAAGCAATTAGTAGCACCTTCAACTGGTATCTAACCATGTACTGTTCAGTTCTTAGGTGACCACTTGGATTAAAATCATGCTCTGAATTTGCACACTAAATATGCCAAATCTTTTCTGTGAGCAACTGAAATCAATAAGCACTATAAGATTTATGCAGTTTCAATATATTTTTGTCAAATTATTTCAAATATCCCCCTAAACTTTTGTCATCTCAAGTAGCTATGCTATTTTTATTCCCTTCTCCACTTTTTTCTTTTAGAATATTCATTTTAAGCATTCATTTTTGTAATTAAATTATTGTATATAATGGAAAAATTTCTATATAAATCAGTAAGCCTCATCTTTTCTATTTTTATTTATTTTAATTTGCTAATAATTAACTAACTAAATTACTAACTATGTTTCTTTCTCAATGTGTTTCTGTTTATATATGCACATGTGTAATATATAAAAAGCTAACTTTTTTTAAAAAGTTTTTATTGTATAACTTTGTTGTTTTCTGAATTCTATGTGCATGAATTTCTGTATTTGAGACCATTTGAAGTATTGAGATTTAGTTGATGAAAAGAAAGGTCAAATGAACTTAAAATTACCAGCATAGCATATTACTTAAGTTATTTTAATAATACATTATATCCTCATAGGTCTCATATGGAAATGCAAAGGCTTGTTCTGTAGCACTAATTTTAATTGTTGCTTAATACTTTGAATTAATTTCTGGAAAAAATTATTTTTTTATTGAGATTTTTTGCATATTCTGGTTAACTTGTTGTTGCATATTCTGGTTATTTTGAAATCTAGATAAATTTATATTTTAGGATGAAACTTGTTGGAGTTCTTCCACTACTAGATCTTGACATTTCTGATTATCAGATATCAGAGTTGTTAAAGATTGCCACAAGCATACCACTTCCAGAAAGTAGTAATGGTAATGTACAAGAAGCATCATCAGCTCCTCAAGCTTTGGTAAGGTTTTTATTTAAATATGCAGGGAAATAATAAAAAAAATCTTTTGTGATGTTAAATGCTTAAAGTAACATAGTCAAGTTTGAAATACAGTAGCATCTCAATTATTTGAAGTAATAAGAATGGATGCTATTTCTGAGAGAGAAATAAATGGCTGCAACCATTTTAGATAAAAATTGGTATTTTATTGGTATGGATGTTGCAGTATCGTTTCTAAACATCATTTTATAACTTTGCATGTTTAATATTTTATGAAGACTTCAAAGCACAAGTAGCATAGCTTCATGTTGGATAATTTTGGAAAAAAAGATGCAGTCACTATAAAGTGCATCTTGTATTACTACATTTACTGTAAATTTAGATGGTGCATTTTATTTAAAATTATGCATGTTTTCTGTCATTAATTGTATGTTTTTGAACTTTCTATCAAGTTTGGATGAAGCATTTTACTTTAAATCCTATTATGAAGGACTTGTTTGTTTTGAAAAAAGAGAAAATATTCCATTCTTAAAGATATTGAAATATGTGAACAAAATTTGTAAATATTGGACTTAAATAATAGAAAATTTGTTATTTCACATTTTATTATCTATATATAAAGCTGTGTTTACAGAAAAGTATAATTTTGCCATTTAGGATTTGAATTTAAATACTAGGTGATTAAAAAGTGTCTGGGAAATATGTTAAGATGGTATATGGGTAGAGTGGCCTGGAATCAGCAGACTTTATAATGGAATGTGTGTGTGAAAATGATGCATTGTGTTGTTACAGGGTAGAGTTGATCAGTAGGTAAAAGCATTCTACTGGCATCAATTACCATTCTCCATGCCAGTTTTGAGTGATAGGCATGACTACACAAATGCAAAGCTTACTGACTTGCATAAATTGGAGTAACTGTTCAAAAGAGGTACAGAGAATGATTTCTGAGTATCTCCTCCATTACTGTCCACAGCCCCATAGATAAGATGTATGTCAGCAAGCTGTGCATTCAAGTAGAGATGCATATCACTTGAAATTTGTACAGTAAATAAAAATCTATGCCAGCACTTTTTTATTTACCACTCAACAGTGCTCTGCATCGCTTCAATGCACCCATTATTTCTGCAAACACATGCCTTTACAAGATTTGCTTATTTCAGTTCTGTCTATGTTTTTGCCACATGCTTTTGAATCATCTCGTATATAAATAAACTACAGTACATATTTTGATTTATTTTTCTGGTTCATCATTCATTGTGCAACTGCTGCATGTATTAATTTTAAGAATAAAAGTATGTATTATTGTAATCACTGTCGGATTTACATTTAAGCTGCACAAGCAAGCTATAGCTTAGGGCTCCCACTTTCTTGGAACCCCCCGCAGAAAATTAAAATTTAGTATAATTAGTATTAAAATATATTTAACAGACTTATGAAGAGCTCCATATCTCAAATATGGCCTTATCAAGTCTAAATCTGTCTCTGATTGTAATTACATGCTAATATGTTTAGTTTGTTTCGTACTGAAGTTAACCTTTGGAACTGGGGGATTTCACTCCTGTAAGATCCTTAAAAGGATGTTTTTTTTTTTCCGTTGTGCTTTCCCCTTTTTAAAAGGTTCCGTACTGTTGTCAACAATGGCAATTTTAAGTAGTTTCATTCATCTTGAAAGAGAGGCTTTCCTTTACAAAAAGATGGAAAATGTTTTGGATGGAAAATTATTGCCGAAATTGTTTAGAAGGTTTTTTTTATGAGGGAAAAATTTAAAAGTTCAATTGATTTCAAATCAGATAGTGATACATAGAAAGGAATGTATATATATATATATGCAGGGTGCCCACTAAAGTCCGGTACCACCTGCTTAACTGCTGAACGGCTACAGTTATAGTCATAAAATTGGTGTCTTGGTATATTAAAGTGGCTATGCACTACTAGATGAGATAGCTTACAGCACCACCTGGTGAAAAACAGCAGAGTTAGCCTCCCTATCTTGAAAACGATATGAGATAGGAAGAAAATGTGAATTACATAGTTGTAGAGCATAGTCGATTTAGTACAAAAAGACACCGTGTGGATATGAATGCTAAGACGTAACACTGAAAATGCACATTTGTTTCTTCACGATTTCTGAAACTGTGACGTTATGAAACTTGAACGAAAGAGAAAAGGTTATCTTTCGGACGAAATCATAAGCCCATATAGCAGCACAGTGGTATCGCTTGTAATTTACAATCAAGAGAACTGTGGTTCAAACCCCGCAGGGTGCAGCCTTGTTCTGATTGTCATTACAGAGTAGACAATATGCAGATCGTGCACAATCATGTCGCTTTTGAGCAGTGATTTGAAATCTTGTTTTTTAATGACATTTAGACTGTCAGTATGATGAACTTTTTTTTTTTTTTTATTTTTTTTTATTTTTTATTTCTGCTATATTTCTGTACATGTATTTCATTAAAAATTGTCAAGTAAAAAGAGACTAGAAGCAACAGGCAGTTTTTCGTGTACCTCCCTTTCACAGAATTAGTAGCAAAATGCAGACTGATATGCAGTGCTTTACTATGATGCTGATCTTGTCACTTGTGAATAACTTAGCTTATCAAAAGTAAGATGGAAGATTGCTAGGTACATTGTTCTGCCATTTCAAATAAACAGGTTCTATTTGGGCTTGACTTAATTGAATGAAAACAGAAGCTTAGAAAATCTTAAATATATAAATGATTAATAATATAATAGATGACTGTTATATGATCAACATTCCTGGAAATATTTTATTTAATATAGTGTTGCTGGATTTTGTTCTTTAAACCTTTCTAGGTCGTTGAAAAAATTGAACTCATTGCTACTCATATGGTGCTTTAAATTCCACTATTAGTTTTGTATTTCTGAATATTGCTAAGTGATAGCACCACTAATCCTAGTTTCTTCACAATTTTCACAGTGAGATTTCCCACCTTGTATATCTGTTATTGAATGTATGTTAGAATTTCAACTAAAAACCATTTAAGATATTTTTTATATTCATAGCCAGTATTTTTTTTTTTTTTTGATAAAGTAAGCCAAAAAAAAATTTATTAAGTAATTGATTTTGTTTTTGTGATAAATGTGTTTTTTATGCTGTGATAAAGAAGGCAGGTTGTAAAGCTGTTTTAACGATAAGATTGGAAAATAATTTTCTAAAACATTTCTTATGTAATTTTAATAATTATTTTTATGTAGATATTTATATTAAACACATCAAAAAGTAAAGTTAATAAACATGGTATCACATTGAATTTTTTAAAAATTTAAAACTTGGGTGCATTGCAGGGAAAACTGGCAATCAGTGGATGGGATATCACTTATTTGACCACCTTTAAGTCCATCAAAAACTGCTTACTGTCAAAAATAAAAATATTTTGCTTTTTCGAATTTAGGATAAAACATATATTAATTTTCAGCAATTAAAAAAAATTGCTTTTTGGGGGTCAAAAATGCAAATTCCGACTAAGAAGGAGTTAATCCGGTTGAGGTTTTTTGTCACATTGCCAGAATCTAATCTGTTAAAAAAAATTCTTTCCAGCAGGATCTTTTGATAGTTTCAAATTTCTTATTTAAGGATGTTTTAACATGTTTTCTTGCTGAATGTATTGTTCAAGTGAGAGGCTTATTGACTATCTGAAATGTATATTACAGTGCCTCTTCCCTCCCCCCAAAAAAGACTAGTGTGCTAGTCTGTCTCAGTCCAGTTCTGATTTTGGTAATGTTCATTCAAAAGTAACATTGTTTTCATTGAGTTTGATGCTTTGAAATTCTTGTAGCTATATCCTTGTTGTTGAGCTCAATACTAAATCTTAATTAAGGCAGATATAGTTGTGGTTATAGTGTCGTACTTGCCAACCTATGACACTCAAAAATCAGGAGATTTTTTTTAAGCAATCAGGAGATCTTTCACAATGTTAAAAATACTTTTTAAATGATAAAAATATAGTTTTTAATAGTGAATTAACTTTAAATAGTTACTAAGTCTTAAATGCAAGCAAAACAAAAATACCTTAGACATAAAAAAAATTTTTATTACTTGCATCATTAAAAAAAAAAAAAATACACTTTAATCAGTTTTCATACAAATGTTATGGACAGTGGCAGATTTTGCTTTCGTTAAGAAAGGAACTTCATTATTTTGTTCATAGCAATTGCCACGTAGGCCTGCTGCTTTCGCTAATAAAAGTTTTTCTAATGTGTCATCACTAATATTAGATCTAAATTTAGTCCTCGTTTTCGCAACAACAACACTGAAAATCCTCTCACACTCTGCATTACTATGGGGAACTGTCAAGATGGCCAACATAATTCTAGAGAGTTTCACTATTTTAAAATTCCATCAGCACCTTTCAATTTTACAATTAAACAACCACTGGATGTCAAATCCTAGCTGATTTATAACTTCATCCAAGTTTTCAATTGTTAAACTGCAAATTGCAATGCAGTGTAAACTGCAAAATTGCAACTGCGGTATATAGTTTAGCACATCATTATGTCATCTTTCATGACCTACCTAAGAAGTAAGTAGTTAAAAAGTATATAAACACAGGAGAAATCTGTTCAAAAAGGCCTATATCTAGAAAAAAAAGATGATTTTGCTAGAGCAGAAAGAGGAAGAAAAAGAAACAATCGCAACTTTAGCATGCAAAAATCACTTCATCGTTTGGACTGGAATTATGTAGTGGTATCACATACCGACGAAGTAATTCTAACATGAAGTTAAAACTTATTTTGTAAAAAAAATTGTATAAAAAAAAGACAAAAAGCTTTGTTAAGGTCTGAAATAAAAAAACATAATATTCATTCTTCACAAGATAAACTTAAATAATAGGAAAAATGTTTTCTGTGCTGAGCATTTTTTATTTTGAGAGATGAGAAAATTTGCTCAGCTTACGCTTATTTTTGCAGTATTATTTTGAAACTGCCCAGTCAGTTGAATTGGCTTTGTGTGAATGGATGCGAATTACTTATTTTTCTCAAACCTATTTTAACAATAGAAGTAGAACGACATCTCCATTATTTAGGTGCTGATAACTTTCAATAGGCCGTTTATCTTAACTCTCGAAATATTTCTTCTTTTTAAAAAATGCAAGAAGTGGGTTCATTGATCGAGGATTCTAGATATAAGCATTTCTTTAAAGACAGCCAGCATTACAACATGTTTCAAAAATTTTTCTTATTTCAGTCTTATGAAGCTGTGAACTGTTTCAATTCTTCCTTTCTTTTAGAACTCTTTCAAGATAATAAATAATATCAAAATGTATTCATCCACATTAATGTTAAAGAAAAGCTGCCCTTTTTCAGCGTGTAATTTAAGAGGTGACAGGTGCACCTCATACTCTGCAAATTGAAATTTCCTTTCTTAAAGAAAGGAACACCATCTTCAAGCCTACCATTGGGCTTATCGGCACCAAGCCTAAAAGCAATTATCAATGAATTTTCTTTTTCTTTTAAAGTTTTAAAAGTGCTGTGCTATATTAAAGCCTGTCGAATGTCCTTCTTCTAAAGTGGGGGAGAGAAAAGTAACTGCACTCAATTCTGAAGACTCTGGATAAAAAAAGAAACAACAATTGGATACAGTTTGAATTGGTATTATTGCTTCCATTCGAGAGATAGGGAGGCAGAAAAAGGAAAAAGCTTGTTTTATGCAATATCAATAACTGAAGGAATTATTTTTCAAACCCCATTCTTCAATGCACTGTTTGTCTTGCACTTGAGTTTTCTTTAGCGATTTCACTATCGGAAAACATTTTTCTAAATAAGCTGCAGCGTGATCCGATGCGTTCAGTGGCGGTTTGCTTCAAGTTAAAAAGGCAGAGAACAGACCTTCCGGCAGGAATTATCACTTTTTGGTCTTCTTTTTTGTTCCGAAGAAAAATTTAATTTTTCGTTTTTTTCAAAAAACTCATGTTGTCCTTGTGGTTTTTGTTATGACACCATGTTTGAGAACATCTGCCCTTCCACCATGAGAAATGAAAAAAACGCCCAACGGCAGATGGTTAACATCCAAATTATACATTTCCTTTGAAGAAAAAAATAATGGAAGGAAAGTCAACTATGTAGATTTTTGAAATGTACACGAGTATTTCACTTTTCTCGCAGACATAACAAAAAATGTAATTTCTAAAACTTTTTCCCGAAGACCCGTATACTCATACAACTCAGGACAAAATGAAGGAAATAATGAAAGAAAATCGAAACGAAAGCCTTGATCTTGCTTTGTGCTCATTGGCTAATATATGCCGTATGACACACAGTGGAGCTCAATGCCCACCTAGACAACTAGAGACGACGTTTCTGGATACGCATGCTGTCACTCAGCAGAAATTCTCAGGTGATTCGCAGGGTTTTGTTTTAGATATAATCTATAGAAAATTCAATTGCTTTCAGACATCCAAAATCACTTTTCTTTTTTTCGTTAATATAACAAAGTATTAAGCCAAGTTCCATAAAAATGTGAGATTGTCCCAAAAATCACTTTTCTTTTGTTCATATAACGAAGGTATGTGAAGCAAGCCATTAAAAATCGTGTGGCTGTGGAGAAAGATGGAAGAAGAAGCCCAAGTTTGGGAAGCGAGAAACGGACCCACTACCTCCCCTATTGATGGGGGAAAATAGGCTAGGAATAGCGTGTTACATCGTGCGGGGTAAGGGAGTGGAGAGCGGTTCGAAAACTCGGGAGAGAGGGACGTCTCCTGCCTAAATCGGGAGAGTTGGCAACTCTGTAGTGTTTTTACGGAATGGGCACACTTCAAGTGTGTTGATGTGAAAGTACATAAGCATTAAGGGAAAAGGAGTACAAAACTTTGGGGTTTCTTTTCAGAAATGTTTCTCAAAGTGAGATAGAATTCAAGCAGACAGCCCTCATACACATCTTGAAACTAATTCAGTTCCTGATGTAATTATTCATAAAAAGTTTGGTACTTTTCCGTTTCACCGGCGCAAATCTCGCCAAGCAGATTTTATTGGTGACAACGTACAAGTATAGCATAAAAACTTTTAACAAATGTAGTTCAGAAGGCATTAAACATTTTAAAAACATTTAAAAATTTTGTTAAAAAGCCAAATAATAAAGACATAAATTTGTTAAAAAGACATAATTTAGATTTATTTATGCTTCCGTGGTTCAACAAGCTGATTCTCCAGTCAAATCATGTGTCGACAAATGATCTCATCTAGTACACATGCGACAAGAATCTAATTTCTCAGTAATGATACATTAATCAAAGTTAAATCTAATGGAATACAAGTTAAATGCAAGATATTTCAATTCTACGAATAGCTTATTCAGAAATTATGTAAAACCACAGTGCCTTTTCTTTGCTAGTTGTATTCTCATTTAGGATTGATTTGAAAATTTACCCTTGACTCTTTTGCTTTTCTTATTTTCGCATATTCGGGTGCGCGGTGTTTTGTGTTTTGTGTGTGTTGTGTTGCATCTCTATTGACTCTTACTTCTAGTAATTCCGTAAGGGAAAATTGGATTGGGCATTTTTATTAAAATTTGTATATCTGATAAAAATTCTGTAATTGTATGCCAGTATTGAAAAAAAAAGAAACAATCAATTGACAAGAAATGGCTCTGCAACTTGTTTTGGCAAATGAGACGAAAGGTTATAACGAGGGGGATATTTGTACCAGTTGTACATATTGGCGATTTATAGTTGCGCGGCACCCCCCCCACCAACAGAACATACCTTTTTTCCTTTAAAAAGAAGAACACATTATCCTTTGCGATTATCTTGGATATAAATGCAGAATTTAGTACAGTATTCTGAAGAAAGGCCGCTATCAGCGTAGGTAAACGCCGCACTCGAGACAGAAGGAAAGAAAAAAAAAATGGTGGGAAAAAAAAGAAAAAAAAAAAACAAAAAAAAAAATTTTTAAAAATTGACACAGAAAGAAAAGAAGAAGAAAGAAGAAGAAAAAAGAGAGAAAGAAAGTGAGAAAAAGGCATCAGCGAAAGGATGCAATAGATTATTAAATTTGGCAATGCCTATTGGACATCGTCGTGGGCCGATTTGTTATATATAATTATTAATTATATAAAATATAAAAGCAAAAACTAACCTAAGTCTGATATATGACATGCCAGTTAAGAAAAATGCATGAAATGAAACCATAACTCAAAACAAATAAATTAAAGGTAAGAAATGTATAGCTTCTGTGCCGTTTAGAGACATTTTCAAAAATTTTCCGTTCCCTAATTAAAAACTATCCAACAAGTACTTGTACCCAAACTGATGGGATCTGTATTTGGCAGAATGCCAAGAAAATTCCATTCATGCTGAAGGGGAAATACGTCAGAGTTTGTTATTGCGAGGCAGGTGGAGTCGTGTACGCCTTTGAAAAAAATTGCAGAAAAGGCAGGGGTGGGGAGAGGATAGGTCCTGGAAGATTCATCAAATGGCAGAGGAGAGAGACTATTCAAACTGATGAGAATGTTCATTTGAAAGGGGGAAGAATGTTATTGTTCTGAGATCTCGTTTAGGGTGTATAAGGCATGTAGGTCCATTCAAGGGAAAGAATGTAAACAAAATAATGTTCGCAAAAAGCAACTGAGTGGTCTTTTGTGTGGGAACAGCACCAGTCTATGCACAATGACAAGGCCATCCAAACTATGTACAATGACCATCATAGGAAATATTTTATTTTTAGTGCACCTAAACACCGCACCCGCTGAAAATTTAAGTTTTAAACACGTAAACGCTGCGGCGTTTCTTCCGGAAATTACGGTAATAGCATTTTTTACATTGATATTATATATGTATCTTAAAATGTATAATTGTAAAACATATTCAAGCATTTAGTTACTGTTTGTCTTGTGTAAATTTGAGTAAAGAATTGTTTTTCCAATAGATACTTCATTTTTTTAAAAAAAAAAGTATTTTGTAGTATAAAAAGCATTTACCTATTGCTCATTCATATTGTGTTTTGTTGTATACTTTTTTCCAGTCATCAGCTGTAGGTGCTGATTATGTGAACAACAAAACTGTACAAAAGGCTAAACGAGAAGCTGTAGAAAATTTCAAAAATATTTCTTCTGAGAGTGATGAAGATGATGATGAAGCTGAATTTATTAAAGAAAAAACTTCTATACAAAGCACAAGTATGGAGTTAAAATTTGAAATTGAACAAGTAAGTCTCAACTTTGATTATCTGAATAACTTCATAATTGTCTACTGTTAGACTAAGCAGTATAGGTTTAATTAATGCCTGATTCTGACAATTTTTCATTAATTTTGTTGTTGCTAAAGTATATTATTTAAGTTGAAATAAATTAATAAATGTCATTGAAAGCTGTCTTTATGTGTGTGCATAAGCATACATATACACGTAAGCATCATCATTTTAAAATACTATATTAAGTAAAAAAGCAAAAATTTATCTTTTACTGAAGCAATAAAAATATAGTTCATTGTAAATAATATTTTATGAAAAATTTAATAAATTACTATAATTTAAGAAAGTATTGTGTTATCAAAATAATTTAAATTAATATAATTTCTCTTCAGCATTACTTTTATTGTTAAGTTTTAATTTTAAGAAAGTTTGTATGTATACAAGAGCTCATTGTCTGTAAAATTTTGAGGCTGTAGAACACTTGAACAATAATTTTGTTTCTCATTGTATGACATTAAGAAAAAGAATAATAATAATAAAAGAAAATTGCCTCGAGATACCTAAGGCAGTCTGCGCCTCCCATGGTACCAACTAACTGACTTCATGGACACGACAACAAACAAACAAAATAATGAATATGCTTAGAATCTTTTCCATGATCAGCGGTCGAACGGTAAAGTCGCTGAACACCAGTAGTTCGGTCCGAGGTTCAAATGCGCGAATGGGCTGGTTGCATGAGCATTTTCGTGGTTTTCCCCATGTGTAATGGCCAGTTTGCCTTAGAAAGTTTTTCATGAAGGCATCCCTTCCCCTTAGGCAGATAGTACTAGTGTGCTTTGATGTAATTAAATAAATCAAACCAAATCCATGACTTAAAAAATAAAGTTTGTTTATTTTATTGTTATTGTTCTACTAGATTGACTTGCACTCATGTACTAACCTGTGAATAAATACTACTACATAAATATTTCTTTGTAAATTTATTTTATGCATATTATGTCGTATAAATTTAATGACTAATTAAATTTATATGATGCAGTGGGATTTTGGCTTTAAAATTCTGTTTCAAATAATTGAGATATATGTTTTATTTGTTTAGTTTTCCTTTGCTGTGTCTCGCAGAATCAAAAAGGAGGATGTGAAGATGTTAAAATTTGCAGTTCATAATTTAGGAACTAATGTATGCATGCGGACATTTGATATGACAGCTGATATTTATTTGGGTGGTATAATTTTGGAACACTCAGAATTTCAAAGTAAGTTTCTTTGTAAAATCTCTTTCTTACTTCTGGTAATTACTGTCATTATTGGCTAGCACTTTTTAAAATTATTTCTTTTTTACTTACTTTTGTGCTTCTTGCTTATTTTGTAATATTTTGATATTTCAGGTCCTAAAGGAGAACCTTTGAAAATGATTTCAACTACTTTGAATGAATCTGATGAAAACCTATTTTCACTCAAATACTTATCAGTACGTGAAGTTCTTTTCGGAATACTTTTCTTTTAAAATTTTATTGTGAAAGAAACATGCTTGTTTTGTGTAAAAACGTATTATGTTTTCTAGTTGATTTTATGTTAATCTTTTTTTTACGTTTTTTTAATATTATTAACTGAGGTATTCTCTCCTCTCCTTTCCACATACCTTTGTGATGTAATTGGAGCATGCTCTATGTGCAATTGGGAGGTCTGAAGTTCAAATCTCAGCAAGGGCATTGTTGATTTCTTCAGTTTCTTGCTATAGAAAAACTCTAAATGACTCTAGAGTGATGCGTGAACTAAAAGGTGGTAGATGATAATTCGTCACCACTAGGTTTTGATAATTGGGTCCCCTAATTCCCAGTTGCCCTATAAAAGGGGAAGTACGTAAGGTATTTTCTCCCTCCTTTCTGTATGGATTTGTGGTGTAACTGGAAGCATGCTTTATGTGTATTTGGGAGGACCAAAATTGAAATCCTGCTCTGTACATTTTTCACGTTCGTGCATCGATATAACCTACTGCCTCTATAACTAATGTCTGAATGTATTTGATTACTTGACAATTTTTCTTTGAAGATGTTTGAGGTCTTAATATTCAGAAGTATTATTATGAGCTAACATTATGAAAATGCATCAGTATCATTACTAGGTATTATTCATTAAAATTGCAGAGAAATTTCAAAATTAGTAAGATAGAGAAGAATCAGATTTGGTAGGAAGAATTTTGTTTTTTCATTTAATGTTCTCTTTTTTTTTAGATGCTTAATTTTTAATGTGATATTTATTGCCATTATTATGTTTTTAAAATTAAGTGAATCAAGAATTGTTTTGAGTTTTTTAATTATATTATGGCTTTTTTGCAGGCGAATAAAAAAGCCCCTGATTTTGCAGCTATGTATGATTCTATTTTGCAAAATATTAAAGTTGATTTTCGAGAGATAGATATAATTCTACATCAAGAAGCAATATTAAGCATCATGGATTTTTCTAACAATCTTCTTTCAAGTATGCAGTCATTATCTGAGAAACCTGCTACTGTAACACCAGCTCCTTGTTTTGGTAAAGAGCCTGTAAAAAAGAAGTCACACAGTGAGGAGAAAGTTAAGCCAAAACTTGGTAAATAAAAATTTCATGCACAATATGTGTTCTCAATTAAGTTTTAGTTTATTCTTTTATTATTCATACCATGCTAACAAAATTTTCTTTCTTTGTTTATAGTAAGTAAAAGAAAGGTTGATTCACAGCTCATCAATATCCAACTTAATGCTTCTTTAGAATCAATAAGGCTGATTATTTGCAACAAGAAATATGAGATTACAGACATATCTATCAAAGGTAAGTTTCCTTTTTAATTTAAAATTCTTCTGTGTTTACTTATTTTGGAAGGGAATCTCACATTAAAGTGTGCAACATTGAACTATCCCTATCCTTAAAGTTTCAGTGTATTAAATATCTTCTGTTATTTTCTAATTTAAAAAGTCATTTTGTGGAAAATATGTCAATGCAATATATATATTCTCCATACTGAGTTTATTTAATGCATAAAAAAGCTGATGTAAGCTCTATTATAATATGCATAAATGCCAAAATGTTTAGTCAAATAGATACTAATTTATAATATAGAATTTTAATAGTTTAAGAATAAAAATTTGGAAAACAACTATTTAGGAAACCCGGGCTAAGCTTTTTTATCAAGTTATAATGTAATTGTTATGTTCATGGTTTTCTGCTTCCCTAGTCATTTGAACTAGATAAGGATGTTTAAAGTATTTCATCATACTGAATACCCTTTAATAATTTGTTTAGAGATTATTAGGTAATTGTATTACCTGTAGTTAGCTAAATTTGTATTGCAAGGTAAATTGTAAATGCATTTGTACATTTATTTACTGTTCATCACTTCATCAATATAAAATATAATTTAGATTTCAAAAGAATTTTTAGTGACCTATTTATAACTTTACTCCATATTCTGTTCATAATATTTATAACAAAGTTATGCTCTAAAACTAGAAATTGCTGTTGGTCATTAAATGTACACTATCCTCTAAATATGCTAAGGCTTTTATAAGAGCATTGGGATAATGAAGAAAGAACTTAAGAATTAACTGCCATTTGTTAAATAACTAACTATTGCATTATTTGTCTTAGAATAAAATCTGATGATTTCAAGCAAAGTCTTTAGAACTTAGAGAACAAGATATATATTATTGCTTTTGAAAATTTTCAAAAATTGTCAGTTATATATATCTATTTCATATTGTGCTTATTCCTCTACTTTCTCTCTATTTTTAAACCAATTGGTTTAAGGTGGAAAACATATATATAGTCTTTTAATGCTGAAATTAAAATTTATCAATTGTTGCATATTTTTCTATTCATTGAAGGAATGTTTTAATTCTAGTTAACTTAAATTTGGGTGGTGGGTAGCTAAAAGAATTATGCAAGTTGCTAAAAATGTATAAAATTCCTTTTCAGAATATAAATTGTTTAAGAATTTAACTTTGTAACCTGATAGTAGATTATTTTAGAGAGTACTTTTAAAATTTAATTTTAATTGTATTTATGTTTATAAATTGAAACTGGCTTAAACTTAACTTCTCATCAGTTTTTCACTCGAGAATTTAAATTAAAAAAAAAAAAAAAAAATTTTTTTTAGGTATGAATGCATCAGTTACAGTGCAGAAATTGAAAACTTCCTTGTCTGCATCCCTGAAAGATATGATTGTCTATGATCCATCACCCAAAGCACTTTATCCTCAGGTATTTATGAGATCAAAAAAGACTATGATTTTTACTACTTTTATGTAAATTATCATTTTACATTGCCATTTTCAGATTATCTGTGCATACCCTGGTTACTGATTTGCTTGAAGAATCAGTTCAATGCATATTAATCAGAATGTGCTGTTTCAAGTATTAACTAAGTCTGAAAATGAATGATATCAAGGACAGATTAGAGTGTTGTTGATTTTCATTGATAACTAATGTCATGTCTGCATATGGGAATCTGATTTAACATGGTTTATTAAATGCCACCTATTCTTAGTTGGTATGATTCAGGAAGTATTTCAATGAAAGTTATAATTGCAATTCAAAAACATATATTTTACGTTTTTTTGTGTTTGGTTTCAAAAGTCTTCTTATGCAACATGATTAAACCTTTGAGTGACACATCTTTTTGAAACTGCTCATTGAATATCTGTATTTAAACAGTGTTCACAAACTAGATTTGTATAATTACTTACTTTAATTTCTGTTTTCATAAACTTCCATTCATTAAGATGATATTTTCATCATTAAAGAAAATAAGAAGTCGAAATGTTTTAAATTATAAGCTAGTACGCACCAAGTGACAAAGAATCTCATGACTAGATAAAGGCAGTCATGCCTCTTAGAGGTTTAAATAACTGACATATAAGGAAAGATTTACTGTCCCAAAGGCACTCAAAAGTACTCTCATGGACATGGAGGAGAGGAGGAATGTATAATGAATGATGTATCAAAAGAACTTTTCTTTCATTATGCAACTAATTATATTAGGTATAGCAAGCAGTGGTCTTAGATATTGATGAAACTACAACCATCAGACTTGGGTTTCTGGGAAGTGGACTTCGCAGCTGTGCTGAAATTGTTGAATTTTATTTGTCAAGTATTAACTGATAGCAATCTCATTAACACTGATCATCGACCAGCATATGACTTTGATGATGATGAAGTTATTTATAAAGAAAACCTCTCAGGAAGTGAAATAATTTTAAAGCAGTTGTAGAATTTTTTTGTTGCTATTGAAATGTTATAAACACAAATTTTGAACTTATAAATTGAAAATTTGAAACTGAAGTGAAATGCTCTCTATATAGTAACAGTACGCAGAGCTATATAAAGAGAAGTGGAAATAGGAAAGAAAAAAGAATGATCTAACTTTTTAGATAATTTGATGTTAAAAAAGCATCTAGTAAATTTGTGTCTATAAGAAGAATTATACATATGTAATGTTAAATAGCTGAAATCTGTTTTGACATATAAGTACTAGTAAAGTATCTCTGAGCATCTGTAATTTCACATTCTTACTAGTGACAACTAGTTAGTACTATAGAGTTTGGGAAAGAATTCAATTAAAATTTTAATTTGGTTATTTATTGGCAACTTTCAGTTACAGCCCAGTTACCCCCACATATATAAAAGTAAGTACTCAGTATGATTCTGTCAGTGAATGATCTATGTGCTGATTCGTTACTCTTCACACAGTGACTGTTTAATATGAGAAATTGATCTAAGTGATCTGGCAACCATGCCAAGAGGAGCATGTCCATATTGTTTATTCAGAAATTATTATACTTTAATGTAACTCATTTTTAAAAAGAATTCTCAATAATATATTTTTTTTAAAAGTTTTCTGCCCTAAAAATGAATACTTCGTTAACTGTGTGGAAAGAAAAGTTTGCTAACAACTTAGTAAATAGTAAATATCTAAATACACTGTTATGAACAGAGAGGCATATGAAAAATTATTTCAAGAAATTAAATAAGATAAACTGGCTTCAAAGAAAAGTCCAATGTAGTATTGATGCATGTGCAGCATTTCATCACGCGTGCGAGAGGCACGGCATCAGCCAATCAGCAAGAGATGCACATCACCTGTTCTGTTTATGTCACATCTTCTCACAACCTCTTTTGGCTGGTGCCGTTGGAGTGAAAAGACTGCTACGCAATGCTTCTGGTACGACTCTCATTCCTGTGTGTATAATAAAATATATTTTTATATCAAATAGTGTTTCATTCAATACATGGAGTCAGAACAACCATATCATCTTAAATGACAACCTCCTTCACATGAACCATTTTGACTTCATAGAAATGGGTGTCGTTCAGTGAATAATTTCAAAATTCAATAGTGATGAGATATCATTATCTGAGAGTTTTGAAGCAAATGAAGCTCACAGCAATTGGACATGGAGGCTGCAATCAACTTCAAATAGAAGCAGGTAAAAAATATGCCATCAATCGCTATCTAAATAATCAGTTTGTCTCTGTCAATGTGTGAAGTCTGCAATGGTAAAAAATCTAAGAAGAAGGAATTGTTTCTAAAGCAATTTTACACAATGAGTTAAACAGCGCAAAATCAAGCAGATAGCAATACAGTACAAAGTCCATAATCTGGACTCATCGGGACTTCGGGGATTCCAGATTAGGGTTTTTTCTGGATTACTGATCATGAATTTAAATCTGGTAAGATGGCATGCATAAATTATACAACTAAAAATATGAAATTGTAATTTATGAAATAAAGAGCAATTATGATCTAAAGAGTATCAAAATTTACAAAAAAAAAAAAAAAAAAAAAAGCTTAATATTTATTTGTTTACTTTATTAAACATTTCAGTACTTTTCCGTTTGTAGGTATAAACATTTTAATATGGTTTAAAATTTTGTAAAAAGCCAGTAAATAAAGACAATAAATTTGTAAAAAAACATTAATTTAGGAATTTACTATGCTTTAATGGTTCAACATCCTGATTCGTCGGTTGGTATCATGTGACCCCAAGTGATCTCATCTCACATAAACTACGTTGCAAAAATCTAATTCTCTCAGTAATTGTCTACATTAATTTCAAGTTAAATCTTAATTTGGAATACAAGTTTAAATGCAAGAATTATTTCAATTCGTATGAATAGCTTACTCAGAAATTACGTAAAACCACAGTGCTTTACTTTGCTAGTGCATTCTTATTAGAATTGATGAATTTAACCACTTGACTTTCTTGATGAACTTAACCTTTTCTATAATTTTCGCCATCGGGTTAGCGGTGTGATTGAATCCTAATTGACCTTAATTACCGCCCACAAATGGTCTTAGAGCATAAAATTTGAACTATCTTGTAAAAATTCTATGTAATCCTCGCTGGTATGCCAGTATTGAAAGAAACAATCAGTCTGATAAGAAATGGCTGTGACTTGTTTTGAAAATGAGGCATAAAAAGTTAACAGCGAAGATATTCCGTTAGACATCAGTTGTACCATTCTTAGCGACTTTATCGTTTGCGTTGGCAAAACAGAAAAGTACCAACATTTCTTTCAATGTAAGTTGTTTAAGTTGCTTCATTTCTTGTGCTAATACTTTCTCTTTAATTATATAAACAGATGTAATTTCTTGTTCAGTTACAAAGTTCGACTGTTCAAGTCCTGTAATTGCTGTAGTGAGAATACCGACTAACTTGTCAATCGAAATTTTTTCGTTTCGTTTCGTTCGAAAGTGACCCCTCTGTCACTTTCTTCACTATCGATCGGAAGTGGTATTTTTTGGATCTAGAACCATACTACAGATTTCGCCATCCATTGATTGATGATTGGGACATTGTCATCACAATGAAAAACATCTGTTATATCTTCCTTTATTACCACTCTCCATATTTCTTTACAAAATCCAATAACTGGAAAATTTCACCTTTAGTTTGCGATGTCAGAAAACCTTCAAATTTGCCGCTATCATCTTCATCGCCATCACCATGAAATATGGTAGCTGACCATAAATTATGTTAAGCATTTTTTAACGTATCTGGGGGCACATCCTCCCACGATCTTGTGATGCTCCACACAGCAGATTTTATGCTAAAATTTTTTTTTATGCTGGTGACATTAAACTTAACATGGTGGAAACTCATGAAGAAGATTCAGATATAGAGTGCTCTGAATGTATTGTTATCTTATATGCTAACTGTTGTGTCGTCATCGTGTATTCATTTCACAAGACACTTTATTCACTTTACAAGACTTTTTGTCTATACAAAAAACATCCTCTGTGCATATAAATGTGTATAACTCCACAACCGATTTCCATAATTTCACTCCTGGTTCCATATTTGCTTTCCGCATGCCATTTCTGCATTCGATTAAGTCCTGTAATCTCGATGCACCGCACTAACTTTAATTGAGACTTGCTTCAATTGTGCAACTGAGGATAACATTACAACAGCATGGTTTGAAGCAAGCCAATCCCTAATTCAAGAGGCTAAAAATATTAAATATGTCTTTGATAAAATGCACTATTATGGTAATGTTGGCAATAAAGCTACAATACCTTTTCCAAATGTAAACAAAGCTCAAGGTGAATTCGGAAATATAATAACTGTTATTTTATTAAAGACCAGTCACAATATTCCAGTTATGTACAAATAATAGTATTATGAATGATCTATAAATGATAGTGTTATGAATGAGCTATACACTAGATCTGAATTTGATATTTGTAAGCAAAAATTTATCGAAATCGCTGTAGTAAAGAAAGATAAGTAAATATCTTTATGTCATGCAGCTTCATCTACGAGGGCTATCCAGAAAGTAGATTACGTTTTGGAATAAAAAAATAAACAAAGTATAGGAAACAAATTTTATTATATACAGATGAAAGCCACACTCAAATACTACTTTTCTACATAGTCACCATACAAATTAAGGCATTTATCATAGCGATGTACGAGCTTGGAAATTCCTTCGTCGAAAACTTCGGCCGCCTGCGCCTTCAACCACTTCGTTACCTCTTCCTGCAGCTGTACGTCGTCATCAAAACGCTGCATAGCCAGCCACTTCTTCATTGCTGGGAATAGGTGGAAGTCGCGCTCGGTGCCAGGTCGGGACTGTACGGCGGATGAGGAAACAACTCCCACTTAAAAGATTCAAGAACTTAACGAGTGACATTTGCCGTGTGGGGCCGGGCGTTGTCGTGAATCAACAAGATCTTAGAGCTCAACATTCCTCTGCGCTTGTTTTGAATTGCTCTTCTGAGTTTTTGGAGAGTTTGGCAATACCTTTGAGAGTTTATTGTAGTGCCTCTTTCCAGGAAGTCCACCAAAATTACACCTTTTCTGTCCCAAAAAACAGTCGCCATCATCTTCCTTGCCGACATTGTTTGCATGCATTTCTTGGGTTTTTGGGGAGAACTTGTGTGCCCCCACTGCATTGATTGCAATTTCGTTTCACAGTTCACATGTTTCACCCATGTTTCGTCACAACGATGCGATCGAGTAAAGAGTCACCATCCTTATGGTAAGCGTCCAAAAAGTTCAACGCTGCAGCCATTCGCTGATTTTTGTGGTCCTCTGTCAAGATTTTTGGAATCCATCTTGCACAAAACTTGTGGTAACCAAGCTTTTCGCTGATGATTTCGTGCAACAAACTTCGTGAAATTTGTGGAAAACTCAAAGAAAGTTCCGTTATTGTGAAATTTCGATTTTCATGGACTTTAGCATCGACTTTTTCGAGAAGTTCGGCGGTCACTATGCTGGGTCTCCCACTTCGATCTTCGTCGTGAACATTGGTTCGGCCATTTTGAAATCTTATGACCCACTGACGCACTCCACCTTCAGTGATAATGTTGTCCCCATACACTTCACGAAGCTGCCGATAGATTTCTATCGGTTTACAGTTTTTTGCAGTCAGAAACCTTATTACTGAGCGCACCTCGCAGCTCGCGGGATTTTCAATTAACGCAGACATTTCAAACTGTCACAGTATCTGAACGGAGCACAGCACGAACCTCTCACTAGCACGGCTAGATGCAGACTGAGCTGCGCAACGCTCTGACCCCAAGATGGCCGCGCTAGCCCCGCCCCTAGCGGACACAGACAGAAACGTAATCTACTTCCTGGATGGCCCTCGTATATCAGGGTCTAGCCAAGGATTTTCCATATGCAAATGCACGCACAAAAAAAAAAAAGGGGGGGGAGGCTGTTTCACTAATTTGTGTTAAGTGTAAAAAAATAATGCATTTTGCAAAAGGGTTCAAAATGTCACAATGTTGGCCAATGTATTTATAAGTCTATTTATTTTGCAATGCAGTAAATAATCTGGAAACCAGTCGTACTTTTTTTATGCCTAGAAAACAATTTTATGTAATTTGATTATGTACTGTTATATGTACAGTAAAGATTGGGCTTTAACTGAAGCCTGCATTAAATTGATGAATTGAAATTTTAATTTGTATCCTTCTCGACCTCCGTAATGATAATCACTTGTCACTAGTAAGAATGCAGAGTTACGGATGTCGTAAAAGTTTTCCATTTTAATTATTAATTATGTATAAAAAAAGATTTCAGCTATTTATGATATCTCTCTCTCTCTCTATTCAGGTAAGTTAAAATGAATACAGTGATTACAAATAGCTATAACTATTTATTGAAAAGGAATTTATCTTTAAGATTAACACATAATGTAGAGGTAAAGGTCAAAATTTTGTATATGTATGTCATAGAAGTTCTATGTGATTTCCCTTGGTCACACGGACAGCATCTAGGCAGTAGTCCATTTCTCGCCATACATTCTGAAGCATTTGTTCAGTCACCGATGCAAGTGCATTACAAATGGGTACTTTAAGTTCTTCAGTTGTTTTGGGTATGGGAGGCACAAACACCCTGTCTTTCACATAACCCCATAGGAAAAAAATCACAGAGTGTCAAGTCAGTAGATCTTGGTGGCCAAGAGTAGAAGGCATCGGCAGCAGCTCCACTTTGACCGAAAGATGTTGATTTAAAAATGTGTGAACCTCCGTACTCTAGTGTGGGAGTGCTCCATCTTGCTGAAAGATGTAATCCGTGGAATCAGAGTCTAGCTGTGGCATTAACCATACCTCAAGCATGTATAGGTAAGCATTTGATGTCACACTTTTCTCACTGAAGAAAAAAGGACCGTACAGTTTATGTGATGAGATTGCGCGGAACACATTAACTTTCGCTGAATCATGTTCATGTTCAATTACAGTGGAAAGCTTCTCCCAACCCGATATTTGATTGTTGTACTGGTTAACCTCACTTATGTCGAAGGTTGATTCATCGCTAAAAATGAGATGATCAGCCCATTGTTTCATTCTCCATGCTTTCCAGCATAAACGTAGAGTAATTCATATGTTTGCCATAGTCTTCCTGTTTTAATTGCTGCACAAGTTGAATGATGGGTGGTTTTGCTTGCAGCCTCTTTCTGAGAACATGCCATACTGTTTCTTGTGGCATTTGTAACTCCCTACTGCCTTCATTTGTCGATTTCTGTGGGTTTCTTTCATGCATGCGGCAAATTCTTTCTACTTGCTGAAACACGTGGCCTTCCGCTACTTTTCCCTTTGCACAGACATCCTGTTTCTTTAAACATCTGAACATCTGATGCCATCTGCGTATGTTGTTTGAATTTGGAGGTTCTTGTTTGTAACGCTGATGAAATCTTCTCTGCACTGTTATAATAGAATGACATTTTTCAAATTCTAACACTCAGAATGCTTTTTGCACGGGACTCGTCATTTTTACTAATGAGACGCCCGCAATGAACAGGTTTCTTGTCGTTGCAAAGTTTCAACTCGCATGTGTAGGCTTCCGCTTCACTGCACCTGCACCTTACCTAAAGAAATTTTGTAATTCCATCTACATTCTGTGTTACTCTTATTGATAAATTCTTTTCCATTAAATAGTTATAGCCGATTGTAACCGCTATATTCATTTTGACTTACCCTATATATATATGTATTTATGTTGCATCTTAACTTTCTGTTATTTTAAATGCTAAAAAGAAATATGGAAGAAAGTGATGAGAAGTAGTTGACTGAGTTATTGTATTTATGCATATGTGTATATTTTATTAGCATGATTTCTTGTTGTTTCTAATATATATGAAAAACTAGCATTCACTTTGCATATAGTTAAAGCATATATTTAAAATGTTAACATATTTCATAGTTCCCTGTTTAGTAATTGATATTCCCTAATAGGGGTTTAAAACAGCATTTTGCAGAAAACTTATCATATTTTCTGAAAAATAAATAAATTAGCTAGAATCAGAACACTGCTGTTAAACTATTATAGAAATTTTCACAAATGGTTATCTTCTGCAGTAAAGTGAAGTTTGAGACATATGAAGAACATGTTAAGGAAAGACGAATAATTTCAGAATGCATTGATATTCCATACTTGCCAGTAATGTATAGGTCTTTTTAATTTGATTAGTATGCTAATATAATGAAATATGGATTCTGTAAGTTGTACTAAGTTACATGGTTATAATGTTTGGTACTCTTCCTTAAATAATGATTCTTATATTCATCTATGGCAATGATTGACTTTGCCATGAACAATAATTGAACTGCATGTCTATGTATTTTATGAAGTTCAAATCTACAAAAGTTACATGTTTTGTATTGCATATTATTCAACATAAGAGAAATGTATTTAACATTTAAAATTTATTTCTAAACAGTTGACAAAGTAAATAAATTTATTGTTTGTCAATTTTTATTGTTGAAATATTTTGTCTGTTTATTTTCAGATTATAAGTTCTGTTGCTGGTGAAGTTCTTGATGTAAAATTAATTATTTTCAATGATGCTACTGATGATGAAAATTACATTAACATGTCTGCGATAGACATGAGCATTTGTGTTAGTTTTGGGAGAATGAAAATCATATTTTTGAATAAATTTGTATCCTCGCTTCTTGTAAGTATCCTTGCTAATGTATAAAATTTTAAATGAGCAAAGAATATAAGCTGTTATATGAAAAAAATCTGTTTGCTTACATAAATACCTAATTTTAATTTTCATAATGGCATGTTTCTTTCCATAATATATAATTAGAGATAAATCACAACTGAGTGAGGCTGACAGTGGCTAGTTGAGTAGGACTACCTAAGATCAATAATTCCTCCCAATTTGATTTTTGATAAATGAGCCTTCTGCATGGGATTTTGTGGTTTTATAAACATTAGAGGATGTGATATCCATTTAGTGTACAAGATTTTTTATTCATTTGCAATTATTGAATTCTGTTTTTACTTTGCAACAGACTGAATCCAGTAAACTTTTGCAGTAAACTCTGTGTAGGTTGAATCATATTTCAAGCAGACAGAATTTTACATTTGATCACTGAAAACAGTGTATGTTGGCTCAGTTGTGCTTGTTTTAATAAGAGGGCTTAGCACTAGTAATTTGATTAATGTTTGAATCCTGTTAACATTGCATTGGTTCTTTTGTGATTTACCCCACACACATTGGTTCTTTTGTGATTTACCATTGGTTTTTTTGTGATATCTGTATGAGCTAGATTCTCTGAGAAAAATCTTCCATGAAGGCTTTCCTTTTCTTAAGCAGCCTTAACATGTTTTGTTATATCTTATTAAGCAAATAGTAAGCATATTATGATATAAAACAGACACAGTCTTTAAATTATTATTTTTAGAAGTTAAGTTTTTGAAATAAATATAACTAAATTTTTAAGGCACAAGCTTAAAAGAATATTTTCTGTCAGAAAAGGAATTAAACCCTTAAGGATTGCAATTTCTGTTTGGTATCATTTTGTATAACAAATGAAGAAACTGTTTTGCTGAGATGATAGCTTGAGTTATTATTGGCTAATCATTTATTTTGTCATGATAATTAATATCTTCTTCATCAGGATGATCCAAAAAACTTTAATCATTTTAATCCTTATCCACTCATTCAAAAAATATATAAATCGTTTTACTTTTTTTATCATTCCCCATTTGTTTGTACTAAACCGGTGGTGCTTTAATTTCTCTTTAGCTTTGTGTCCTTGTTGATGGAATTTAGGAAAAAAAATCCACTGAATATTTTTGCTGATGGAAGAGACTAAGTGTTTTTTATTCAAGTGGCAAGCTAATCAGATTTTCTTGAATTACTTTAAGTTTTTAGCTAAAATCAATGCTGATTATAAGATTAAATTTTTGCTTAATTTTAGATCTGACCTTAATTTAGAAACTTTGTTAACTTCCTTTGAATAAACAAAAAAGTAGATACAAGGTTAAGGTGAAAAGTTCTTGACCTCACAATGAAAGACTGCGACTTTCAGTTGAAAACTGATTTTATTTTTCTACATAATCTCCCTTGACTTCAATACACTTGGTCCAGTGTTTCTCCAACATCAATATTCCTTTCCAATGTGAGAGTCTGGAACATTGTGAAAATATTCATTTAAGACCCTCTCAATTTCTTCATTAGATGCAAAGCGCTTCCCAGAAACAAATTTCTTCAAGTTTGGGAACAGATTGAAGTCTGAGGGTGCAAAATCAGGAGACTAGTGAGGATGACTGAGCAAATCATACCCAAATCCCGCAGTTTTCCCATTGCCAACACACCCTTATGCACAGGTGTGTTGTTCTGGTGAAAGATGATTTTCTTTTTTCTTTTTTCTTTGAGTCAGACCTCTTACGAATTTCGGCATCCGGCTAGTCAAGAAGGTTGTAGTAATATTTGCCTGCAATTGTTCTCCCTTTTTCAAGGTAATCAATTAACAAGATTCCTTTCACATCCCAAAACACACTGGCTATAACCTTTCCAGCAAATGCAATTGACTTAATGCTTTCTTTGGCACTAAACAACCAGCTTCCCTCCATTGCTTGGACCACTGTTCATTTCTTGCGTGTAGTGGTGGACCCATGTCTCATCCATGATGACAAATGGCTGCACAAAATCATTTAGATCTCTGTTGAATCGCTCCAAAGATTGTTGCAAAAATTATTTCCACAATTGCTTTTGATCGACATTCAGCAAACGTAGCACCAATCTTGTGCAGAGCTTCTGCATCTCTAATTCTTTAAGCAAGATGTTTCGCACCCTTTCTTCCAGTATGCCCACAGCTTCAGCTATTTCACTCACCTATCATCTACTTTTTTATGTTTTCTGGTGTAGTTGCAGTTTTTGACTGTCCTTCATGTGCATAATTTTTTAGGGATGTGCGACAACATTTAAATTCATCTGCCATTTTTTAACAGTCAACATGGAAGGAGCAGAGTCTCCATAAACTCATGTCAACTTTGGAGGAATTTCCTTAGGGGTTGATCTATCCAGAATGAAGAATTTTATGACTGCACGATATTCAAGTTTATCCATTTTAATGAAGAACACACAAGGCATTTACTATGAAAATTCGTGTATACAAACTGCTTGAGAGAACAAGTTGAAACTGGTCATATGAAATAATGACATCTGCACCCAGGCAGGAAACATAATTTTAAAAAAAAAAAAAAAATTTTTTTTATTGGTGTGGTGTAAAGTGGTGCAAGACTACTGGAAACCAGTGATTCATCCCAGGTTTGGTTTTTATGGCATAAGTTTTCAAGGTTTTCCTCATATATGAATGTAAATCAGTTTCTCTTTGAATATCCCCTATAAAGGCATCCATCCTTTGAAATTAGCCTTTCCATAACTATTCTACTGAATGTGTGTAATTATAGTAGAAAGAAAGAAGTTATAGTGAAAATACAGTTAATAAATTACACAATACTAAAAAAAGCTGTGTTTCTAAGAATTATCTTTTTTCTCTCTCTGTGAAATACTTAAGAGTGTAATTTAAGTCCTATTGTTAAGTGATTGTTATTTCATTTACCTATATAATATTTACATTTTTCAGATGTTTCTAGACCATTTTCAAGCTGCTAAAGACAGAGTTGCAGAAGCAAGTGCTGTTGCTGCTGAAGTTGCAAAACAAAGCATGGAAGAAGTGTATGAAAAATCTACGAGGATATCATTGGATATTGTAATACAGGCACCTGTGATAATTACACCACAGAACTCCTTGTCTACTAATACAATTGTTGTAGATCTTGGAATCTTAAAAATTATGAATCATTTTATGCTTGGCGAAAAAAAGAATGAATTAGGAATACCAGCAATATTTGAAGAAATGGTCCTGGATTTACAGAATCTTCAGCTGTTTAGGTATTAGATATTTTTTAGTATTTATTTACTTTTTGTTATATATATATATAGTGTGTGTGTGTGTGTACTCACTCTATATGAAATTGTTTTCCAGAGTAAAGAATTTAATGACCTACACTTAAGTTTATTGTTTCACCAATTAACTGAAGACTTTCCTTTTGATGCACAATTCATGTTATGAACATCATTTAAAACCTCTCATATATTTAGTCCATTAATTTCCTTAAATTCCAATTTAGAAATATCTATAAGTGATGATAGATGACCTTTAAAGAAACACTTTTTGTCATAGAATCTGCAGGCATAACTCAAGCATGGAGCTTATGAGTGTTAGTGGGCACAAGAATAGCAGAGGAAGAGAGCAAAAGTTGAGCAAATTATGGAAACTACTCAAAGCAGTGGTACCAATATGAATGCAGGTGTCATATCTTTCCTTCGCATACGTTGACAAAAATATGTATTTTAGATGATGCATGTAATCCTATAATAAAATTTCCAAATATGAGAAACTGATTGACTGTGATGACAAAATAATGAGATCACACTGACCAATTCATTTTCATTGGAATATTGTATCTAAGTCATTCAGCACATTCATACTGAAATGAAGTTGCACCGAGTCATGTTGGAACCATATATGAGTTTTGATGATTGCCAGAAGAGGGTTCAGTAATTCTGGCAAGACTTCTTTTAAAATACTAGGCATGATCTGGCAGAGAGTATTGGCCTATTAGATGGTCTTTGATGATTTTAGCACAAATATTTATTTAGAAATACTGCTGTTATGAATATAGACATGTGGTCAGATTAGTAATTGCTTACATATGAAAATTATGGCAATTAAATGCACACTACTGCATTAGATTTGCATTTACGGAAGTTTAGTGGTCAGTTGCACTCACTGCCACTAGATGTCTCTTTATTTAACTAAAGGGATTCTGACTCTGAAGATGTTCTTATGATGGATTCGATGTTATTGGAAATTTTTATTTCTGGTTATGAACTGTGAAAGTAAAGCACATTAGCAATTTTTAGATAAGTAAGGTTACTATACATATTATTAGCATCTCTAATTGCATAGAAACTGAAGTAATTTTTAAAAAGGTATCTGCATTTCTAGAAGCCTAAAATATTAATGAAATACTATATAATTAAAACTAAAATGTACTGTTACTACAAAGTAAATAAAAATTTAAGCACATTTCAAGATAGCACATACTTTAAAAATACAGAGCAACTGTAAAGAAAGGTTCACAATATTTACACAAAATTTGCTATACTTGTATATCACTAACTGCCACAAGAGACGGTGTATTTTTTAAATATGCCAAATTTGGGGGAAAACAGATAATATATAAAATTTTAGCAGGAATTTCCTCAGTGTCATAGCTGGATAATTTATTAGAAATCTCATTGTTTTAAAATGCCCTATGCGCATTTATATTGTATGCATAAGTCACAAAATATTACTTATAATTAAAAAATTTCAAATTCATATCTCTTTTTATAGGAAAAGTTATAAAGATAAGCTTTTTCTTTTTATATATTTATATATAATGTAAAGAAAATGGAAATATATAAATAATTTCTGCACTTCAGCTGGAGAGGACTGAATTTTAAAGCAATTATTATAATAAGTTTAAAAAAATGTTTTATTAAAAATGTGTAGGTCATTAATACTGTCTCATGTTAACTGGTAATGAAAGTTTAAAGTTGGAAACCCCAAAGTGCACTGTGCAAAAAAATAAAATAAAATAAATCTTTGGCAGATCCAGAATTGGAAACTCTTTTTGACATAATCAAAAGTTCAAGCTTAATTTTTATAAAATTACTCTAACAGTCTGCAAAAAATAATAAGCCAGATCCAATTAGAAGATTAAGGAACAGCACAATCTGCAACATTAACTGAAATGCCTTAGAATCAGTAAAGATAATTTTAGCCTAGCTTATGCCGTTCGTTATACATTAAATGTGCATGTGTAAAGCATACAAAAAAAAAGTTTGTGGCTTTGAGGTCTGGATTTTAGATCATTCCTGATGATGGACATCCGGATTACGGACTGTATTGTATATATATATTCAGGGAGTACATTTTAAATTTGTATAATATTATAACTTTCAAAATAAATTCTTGTGGGGAAAAATTAAATAAATATGAGCATAAATGAAACATTATATTGAATGCACATAATAATAGAAATAAATTATAAAACACAAATATAAATCATATTGGAACACTGAGCAGTTGCAAACATACTGCTAAAAGAGTATGGGATTCAAACTCATTACTCCTTAAGACAAATCATTCTACTGTCAGTTTTACCACTATGCTATCATTACACATACATGATTAGCAGTTTAGAGTTTACACATACATTGAGTAAATGAATTCTTAAAACTAAATTTTTTGGTCATATTTCAGTGTGTTATCATCTAAAAAATTGACTGGGGTTTGTTTTTCAGCTTCTAGGGCATTTCTTACAAAAACATAAAGTGCCATTCCGATTTAAGTTAGACGGCTTGCTAAAAATATAGTCCAAGTGAAAGATGTGCTTAAAAATATATGTTAGCCAAAAAAGTATATTTATGAATAGAGAAATACAAATTCAACATACTTTTTAATGCATTAGAATATTTAAAAGGCTATCAAATTTAATTTGTAAATAATGTTATTAATTTCTACCTGTTTCAAAAGAGAAAAAAAATCCTTATGTGATTTGTTATTGCAGTTTGATATAGTCAGACGTTTATTTTCATTAAAAGTAAATGTGTATGCAGATCTAGGAAATAATTGGCAGGGCAAATTTTGCTATTTCATGGACTTAGATTTATATTTTTTGTACCTGATTTTCTTGACAGGATTCACTGCTCTCTGCGAACTAGTACTGTAGTTACAGTTATGTTATTTTTTTTCTTTTTTTAACTCTTTGGCATCGAAATCGCCCGTAGCGCCCGTTCATTCAGGCAACGGCAAACCGCCTCAACGCCTCGTTTATTTTCTACCTAGTTCTTTCCCCTCCACGTTAGTGTATGGCTCATTGGTTTCGCGAGTTGTTAAAAGACATGTCAATCATTCTTTTGAAGCAAATAAAGGAGAAATACGGAAAGCTATTGACGTTCGCAGGTGCAATCCGGCCCTAAGGTGAAACTGCACACAATGGATGAATGGATGAAACCGCAAAAGGGGGAAAGGAAAACTATTCGAAGACAAATTCGTAAACACGGGCGTTTTCGATGTTTGTTGAAAACAGATTCGGTCGTCTCTCGATGCGAAAGAGTTAACTAAATTCAGTTGATTGCTGTCTTTTTCAGTACACATATTTCTTGCTATAATGTTAATTTAGAAATAAGTATTTTTTAGAAAAACATTCTTTCCCTGATAAAAAGTTCTTTACTCTCTCTCTCTCTAGTCAAATAGAAATAGCCAAGCTTCTATTATGAATCATGCTGATTATGATTTTACTTCTCATTTTAACCCATGCCACTGGGCATAAAATCTGCAGAAACCTCTGGAGTTGAGTGAGCACGTAGTGAAACAAGGCATAAAAGAAAGAATTTGCATAAAGCTTTTTGTAAAATTTAAATAAAATGTTACCAATCATCTTTAAAAATATGTGGGACTATTTTAAGTGTACAATATAAATGTTTCAGTATTTTTTTCAATTTAATACTAGCTGCTTGATAAATTTCACAAAGCTGGTTTTATTCTTGCATTTGTTTTATAATTATGTTAAATATTAGATTATGTTTAATAATAATAGATCCTACTTAGAGACCTATATTTTCTTAGAATGCTATTACAAAATTGAATTCAGGCATAGATAATTGCTTTAATTTATTCAATTCCAATTTGCTGATAGGTTCTTAATTTTTTTCATTGATGATCCTTAAATGTATTTAATTTCCATGTTCAGAAAGGTGTAGAAATCCTGTTTAGAAAGTTCTCCATGAAGACATCTCTCCCTTGTATGCTTTGCCATATTCAAGTAACCTAACCTCTTAGTTTGTACAGAATTTCCTCTGTAATGTGTAGCACCTCACACTTCTTGGACATCCAGTATCCTGGTAGCTGCTGATAGAGTCTGTTTTACATTGAAACTCGAAGTTTTTACAATCTGGTATTTGTACTGTAGGTAAATGGTCCTAATTAGTGTTTGGGTTTATATCATATTCCCATCTGTAGTTCCATGAATGACGTGCATACCCACCTTCTGATTCATGAAATCATACATTTTTACCTTAAACACCACAAACCTTTTTACCACAAAAAAAAAAAAAAAAAAAAAGTACTGCAAAAACCAGCCTTAAAAGTTATTCATTCATAAAAATATTCAATCATAAAAATTTCTGGTATTGCTCAATTTATGCCCATGTATATTTTATTAAGAAAAGGTTCCATCATATTTTAAAATTTAGACTTAGAGGGCAGGATGAATTTAAATGAAATAAAATTTAAAAAATTTAATTTAATTCAGTTATAGGGTAAACTTAAATTCAGCCTGTACATTTATTCATATTTGTTTTTTGTTAGACAATGGTAAAATCTATATTTATAGTTCAACATTAAGTGATTATAATTACTGGCAGGCAAAATCCTGTAAGACTTGAAGCATTATCATTGCCATTACAATTAAAGTCGCTTACTCTGTGATGTTATTTAATATTTTTATGATCACTATGAAAATATTCTCTTCATGCAGACCCAAATATTAATTTTTTTTTTTAAATGTAAGGAATCAATAGAAACTATACTCTTTTTTGGAAAATTTCTGGCTTATCAAGAATTAAATGAATTTACATTAAATCAAAATGAACTTCTTACATTAGTTTCATGTTTATCCATTACTGGCACTGAATCACACTGTTTGGTGACATTGATTAATCCTCTCACTGCGTAATTTTTTTATCAAAATAGGCTCAAAAATTGCATATTTTTTACTACATATTTCAAATATACATATATTTTAGAGTTAAAATATACAAAAAATTTTTGTAAAAGAGTTTTTTTTTCAATATAGAATTTGATCATAGAAAAAGTTTGTCAGAATACTGAAATTGAAGAATATTGATAAAAGGAAAATTTTGAAAATTAATATTGCTTAAATTATGATTTATTTTATAAAATACAAAGGTAAAACATATTTACTAATGAAAATATTTGCAAAATGTAATATTTTGCATATCAATTTTGCACCACAGTCGAATGTTTTCAATAGAAGCTGAATTTTCAGATTCATCACTATAGGAATCCGAGAAATTCTCATCAGTTTCGCTATAACTATCTTCAATATACTTGAAATCAGAGTCAGAACTACTATCAGTGTCGGAAATATCATCAGGAATATAGGTTATAGCACTCACGAAATGCTTCCTGCCAGACATCATTGAGCTCTGAAAAGTGCATGCAAAATGATAATTTATGTATTCTTGTATATTTGGCAGAAATGGGGACAACTAACGGCATCTGTTAGCCCACATCTAAATAAAAAATTAAACATCACAGAAAGGCCGAAAGGAAACCTTCAACGGGAAAAAAGCGTGTTGCACAGTTAACTAGACGGCAAAATTCATCCCTACAGAAATCGCGGGTTGCGCAAATTTTGCTACTTCTACGTTGTCCGTGGAAATCGCGGGATGCGCAGTGAGAGGGTTAAATGTTAATAGTACTACCAGCTCTGTAATGGCATTATAAATCTTTCATTTAGTACTTTTTTTGGGGGGAGGGGAGGACATTTCTCTGAAATTCAAAAATATTCTGGTTACTTGAGCTTTCCAGATAACTGAATGCTGAATAATTAAGCTTTTACTGTATTTTCTTTTTTAAATCTTTTTTAAACCAATACCATTTTAGGATTTAATTTTAGCTTTTTAAAGTTCCTTTCCTTCATATAATAACAAAAATATTTTCTTTAAATTATATATTTATATTTTGATAAAATTCTGTATTGTAAATAATTAAGAATTTTTTAATGTTAATTAAATATTATTTTTTAATAATCAACAGCAAGGGATAGCTTTAGAATAAAAGTTTAATATATAACAAAAAGAATAAATACCTAATGTACAGTGATTTTTAAGAATTTCAATATCTAAAACCAAAGTATGGAATTATAACTACAAATACAGAATTGAATAAAATAATCTGTATTTAAAATTTTTAATATGATTAAAAATCTATGAGGCATATTCGGAAACTAAGTACCGTTTTGAAGAAGAAAAAAAAAAAAAAAAAAAATCGTAAAACAATTTTTTCAAATCCAATTTTATTTTTACATGAAAATACGTGTCTTAAACTATTTTTCAACATAGTTTCCGCCAATGATCAAACACTTGTCATAGCGGGTGACCAGTTTTTGTATACCATCATCAAAGGAACTTCCCGCCAGTTTCGATAACCGCAACTCCACAGCATTTTTCGTGTCGTCGTCAGATCCAAAGCGCTTGCCACCAAGCTCGCGCTTCATGTGCAGGAAGGAACAAGTGATAATCGGACGGCGCCAAGTCCGGGCTGAATGGCGGGTGATCGAACTGCTCCCAATGAAACTGTCGAATTAGCGATTGAGTGACAACAGTAGTATGCGGCCGAGCATTGTCATGGAGCAATAATTCCTTTACTGAGCATTCCTCTTCATTTGTTTTGAATGGCACGCCTTAGTTTTGTTAAAGTCTCACAATATCGTGCCACATTAATGGCTTCACCTCTGGGAAGAAATTCAGTAAGCAAAACGCCTTTCCTATCCCAGAAGACAGTGCACATGATTTTTTGTGATGACATTGTCACTTTGAACTTTTGTTTTTTCGGAGAATGAGTGTATCTCCACTCCATCGATTGTTGTTTTGATTCTGGTGTGAAATGACACACCCAAGTTTCATCACCTGTCACAATTTGGTTTAAAAAGTTTTCTCCCTCATCACTGTACTGCATGAGAAATGTCAGGGCACTACCAAGTTGCTTTTGTTTTGTGAGCATCAGTGAGCATTTTAGGAATCCATCGGGAACACAGTTTGCGATAATTCAAGCGGCCAGACACAATTTTGAACAAAACAGTACTTGAAATTTGTGGAAATGCCTCTGAAAGAGTTGTCATTGTGAAGCGTCTGTTCTCATGAATTGCTTTATCAACTTTCCTTACCAAATCATCGGTGACAACAGAAGGCCGACCACTCCGATCCTGGGCGTGGACATTTGTTCGACCTGCATTAAACATTCTTACCCACTTTCTCACCATTCCATCACTTATCGCGTATTCACCGTAAACTTCTGTCACTTGACGATAAAATTTCGGCCGGTTTAACATTCCTCGCATTCAAAAATATAATCACGGCACGAATCTCACAGTCAGCGGGAGAGCTAATTGTCTTAAACATTTTGAATGTGCACAGTAAACTGAAAACACAACATAGAGCAACCAAAATGACAACAATTGAAAGTCAGTGAACAAGAAAGACTAGTGCGCATGCGCGGGACGCCTACCACAGCGCTGCAACGGCGCTAGAATGAAACGGTACTTAGTTTCCGAATACGCTACGTATTTAGGAGAAATCATACCATATATGTCAGATGACAGAAAAAAAATAGAAAAGTAAAACCTGTTCTGTGGCGATCATAAAAATATTAAGTAACATCACAGAGTAAGCGATTTTAATGGCAATGATAATGCTTCAAGTCTTACATCATTTTGCCTGACAGTAATTACAATCACTTAATGTTGAACTATAAATATAGATTTTACCATTGTCTAACAAAAAACAAATATGAATAAATGTACAGGCTGAAGTCTTACAAGTTATAGGATCTGGGCATAAGAAAAAAACCCACAGTACATGACTTTGAAAATGGGTAAACAATGGCGATGTAACATGAAAGATTATGATAAGCGATTTATGTTATTTATATTCTATAATCTGTAATTTGTATATCTTTATTCTCTAACTAACTGTTTACTTAAGCTTGCTGGAATAATTGGTGACATTTTTGCCAATTTTCATATTCGGCAGGATTTCATAATCAAAACAGATATTTTAAGACCTATGAAACATGTTGGCTTTTACAACTGAAATGCTTTCCCCTCCCTAAAATCTTATGTAATTTTAAATATAGGCTTTTGATATTCAAGTTAGTAACATTATTTGTTACTAATGTGATTAGTTCAAAGGGGCTTTGTCCCTGAAGGAATATTGTTTTCGTCTTGCAATTTTGCATTGAGTTACTATAAATATCCATTTCACTGTTCAAACTGTTGCCACCAAATGAGTCCTGCATTATATTATTTGAAGAAATTAAATAATGAAAAATCTTCATAAATGTAGGTATAATTCTTGCATTGTGATAAAAACAATGGTACCTAGAGCCATCAAATTTTGAATGACGTAATCCTCCTACGAATATGGGCATGTGGAAGACCAAATTTGAAATTTGGCATTTGTTTTATTATCGATTTCATATTTGTAAAACTTTAACAAATTTTTGAGTAACAAACTCGATGATTTAAAAGTGAGCAATGGCAACACTCTATGGAGGGAAAAAACTTTTATCTCCAGCGGGTGGAACTGTGTATCTGAAATTCTAAAGATATGCTCATTTTAAAATTATTTTGCAACATTGCTATTGAACTGAATTTCATGGTTTAAGTGCAAAGAACATGATATTTGATAAAGGTAACACACAAAGCATTAAAAAAAGTCCCTTTGGATGTATTTTAAAATCTGAATCCTTTCAGATTTTTTTAAAAATTTTTAAATAACAGAAATTTTCTAATTGACTTGGCTTTTCTAACATGAATTCTGTTTTTTATATGCTCAACTATCTGGAATTTTTATACATCTGGAAATCGACATTTCCTGAGCTTTCCAGATAGTTCAGTTTTTATATGCATTTTAAGAGAAAGGCAAGCTGGCACTGAATCTTTTTTCCTTGTAAAAGGAAGAAATGAACCCAAAAATTGAATATTTCTTTAACTTAAAACTTATCTATTATGATTTCCAGATTTGTATTTTGATGACTATGATGTGTACATGTGTTGAAAAATTCACAGTAAATATGAAGTGCAGATCAAAATTATGAGCAGAGAAATATCTAAATACGTTACATCAGCACTTTCTGATTGCTTTTTCTAATGTTGCATGCAATTTTGTGTTTTTCAGAGCCTTGGTGAAACCAGATACTGGAGACATAATTGCTCAATGCTTAATATTAGAACCAATTAGCTTTACTTTGGAAGTCACTAGGAATCATTCTTTCAGTTGGCATACTGAGCAACCAGAAATGAAGATTTCTGGGAAACTTGCTGCTGTGAAGGTAGTTCTGATTTTTTTATCAGAGTTTTCATGTGTGTGATATTTCACGTATTCTTAATACTTTATCTAGTTCTTTACAATTTGATTTAATTTAGGTAACTCTGAGTCAAGATGATTATAATACAGTCATGAAAGTTTTGAGTGAAAATTTAGCTGAAACTCCTGAATGTTCCCAGCCCAAAATTTCAGTTTCTGCAACTCCTAATTCAGTGGAAACTAAGACAACCTCACAGACTGGTAGCGTTTTTCTTTCTTATTTTCTTGTTCCTCACCTGTTTTTAAGCATTTGCACTCATATGTTATTGTTTCTATTACATGAGTTTTTTGTCCTAACAAAGTAAAAATTACTGCCACTTCATTTGAGGAAAGTATTTGTTTAATATTTCATGCACGAGCGACCCAGTCAAAAGACTGTATAGCTGAAATTTGAATGAATAATTTAAATAATTTTTTATTAATTATATAAGTGCAAAAATCTGCATGTGACTTTAATTTATGATTGAATAAAATCATAGTAACTTTCCCTAGATGTCTGGCATAGCAATTTTTAATAACTCCTTTTAAAAATAAATATATTCTGTGTAGGGATAAATTCTTAAAGTGGTAAGCCTGTCATATATGTTTGGCACTTAAAACTAATTCAGGGGTTAAATTGGAATCTGAATTTAAAGATCAGATTATAATATTTTCAAGGGAGGAGGAATAGAATATATTTCTGAGTTGTATTTGCATGAAGGGTTTGGTTGATTATTTATTGTGTGTTAAGTAACTTGTATATTGGTTTTAATGTTGGTACAGTGGTGCTGTTGTGTGTTGGCATTAAACTAAAGTGCCACATTTCCATTGTCTAGCATCAAACCTCAAACCCACTGGGAAGGCTTTAAACCAACATGATCAAAAACATACTCATAATCTATGGTTAAATAGGGTGTGTATTATATGCAAATGGAATTTGATTAATAGGAGCCATATTATTATTATTATTATTATTTTAATATCAAGGGCATAAAATTAATATTGTAGGATTCTAGTAAATAATATGAGCAAATCTTGAATTGAGGACTGCATATTATTTTTGTATATATTTGACATTTAAATTTTTACTGTGAGTTATAATTTGGAAATATTTAATAAAGGGAAAATAACATAATTTATATTTTAGTTTCTGCAGTTCCTGAAAAACGTATCTCTGTCTGTGATGTTGTTCCTTGTAAAGTGCATAATAGATTTAACTTTCTGTTCATTTTGGATAGTGTTGTATTGACTCTTTGCCATGGAGAAATACAATTAGTAAGTATGAAATGCATAAGTATGATTTCTTATTAGTTTTAACATAGTTGTGCAGCACTGCTGTTATCAAAATGTATTTAATTGCGTATTTTTAAATCTAAAATTTAGGTTTTTGTTATCATATTGTGATTTTCGTGATACAGTTGATAGAAATTTTGCTTAGATTTTTTGTAGAATTAGTATGATAGAACTATTAAATTTTATAATGTTCTTGTTAAAACATTTATTCATCATGTACATTCTTAGCTAAATGTGTGCAATGATTATCCATTTTCTGTTATAATTTTTTCTTAACATCTCAAAGGAACCCTTTTCAAGGTATTTATAATTTTCATTTCATAGATTGCAGTTCTTGGCAAATTAAAAAATATTGAATATATTGTTGAGAAAATATTTGTTTATGCTACATAACATGAACAGTCTGGTGAAATAAATTCATAGCCAAGTCTTGAATAATTCTTTTTAAATAAATATATAAATTCCCCTATCTGCCTAAGAGGAGGGATGCCTTCGTGGAGGACTTTCTAAGGGAAACTGGCTCGTATACATGTTACACATGGTGAAAACCACGAAAGCGCCCATGCAGCCAGCCCGTTCGTGGGATTCGAACCTCGGACCGAACTACAGTGTTCAGCAACTTAACCGCTCGGCCGCTGGTAGGCCGCCGTTAATTGACGATGAAATATTGTAGCATCCCCCCTTATTGTTTATTTTTGCCATTTAAGCAGATCATTTTAACCGCTTCCCTGATTATCCCGAATTATCTCGGGTTCGTATATATTGCAGTTAATTATTATCCCGAGAAAACTCGAGCAAAGCAGAATTTGTTAGTACTGATTTCGATTTATCACGGTTTTACTTCGGTCTTGGAGGAAATGAAAGGAAATATTTAGCATTTGATTGGCACTTTGCCAAGTTTTGTTGGTTGCGCGGTTCTTTTGGAAGGGACTGGTTGATGTGTTTTCCCTATTGTCTAGTATACATCGGCTTGTGGATTAGTAATGTGTAAAGAAGGATGCATGCGTTGGAAAAAAATAAAATAATGGGGATGATGGAAGATAGCAGAAGCGATGATTTTTCAGGTAGTGATTATGAAAAGGTTGGGGGGGGGAAATATCAAATCCAACGAGACAGTATACTCTGTGCTCCCGTGAAAGAGATTCCAGCCATAAGCCAGAAAGAAAAGAGACCAGATACCAGTGTAGAACATCAGGTATCACTCTGTGTTGTCCCGTGTTTCAAAAACTATCATACAAAGATTAATATTTAACTTTTTTTCGTTTGCCCGAGATAACTCGGGATAGTAAACTAATATTAAAAATAAATGCTTTTACACCTTCAAAAAATTAAAAATTCAACTTAAAACCTACATATTTTAATTTGTTTCATTTTGTTGTATTTAATAATAAAATAAAAAAATGTGATGATTTTTTACAATTTTTTTCAAAAAAATTTGTAAGGGAAGCGGTTAAATATAAGATTTTGTGTTATATATTTTCAATTTTGGACAGAAATTGTAAGATCACAAAACACATTCTTTATTAATGCATGAAAAATAGATAAAAGTTTGTTAGTATTCCAAATATATACATTGAAAAAAAGGAGTTATATTATAAAGAGTGTCATATCACTGTCCTTTCCTGAAGGAGTGAGAAAAGTAAGTGTGAAGAATAAGTGTGTTACACAATTAACTCTTTTGCAGGGTTTCCAGTTCATACAGTTTATCGCACTATTGGCGTCAGTCCATCATTATATGCATACCAACACCTCTACTTGATGGGCAGGATTGCCATTTGCAGCGATTCTCGAACACAGGTTTGCCTAGTGGTTTGGTGAGTAGATCCGCAATTATGTCGGAGCTTCTGCAGTAGTCTAGGCTCAGGATCCTGTCTTGTTAAAGTTCACGCAAGTAGTGGTATTTCACGTCTATATGCTTTGTTCTGGAGCTATTTTTCTCTGTTTGTGATAGTTTGATGCATAATTTGTTATCTTCATAGAGAGTAATTGGCAGATTTTGTTTTAGTCCTATATCTTTAAGCAAATTTAACATCCATTGTGCTTCTTGTGCTGTATTAGCTGCTGCAATATATTCTGCTTCAGTTGAAGATAGTGCAATGCAGCTTTGATGCTTGCTGCTCCATGAAATGCAGTTATTTCCTAGTTTGAATATGCATCCTTGAATATCTATCTAATGGATTTTCTTGTGGTTCTGTCATTTGCCCAGTCTGCATCCGAATATGCAGTTAGTATAGGTTCTTGAATTCTGTTGAAGACCAACTTAGTGTTTAGTTGTGTGCAAGTATCGAATGACTTTCTTGACAGCATTCCAATCTGTGTTCCGAGGTTTTTTGTTTCTTCTACTCAGTAGATTGACTGCACATGCTATATCTGGTCTGCTGATTGTTGCAATATATAATAATGCCCCTACTGCTTGTCTACATTCTGTATTATCCTTTAGAAGATCATCTTCAGCTTCTAGTTTGCAGTAATTTGTTTCCATAGGTGTATATGTTGGTTTTTCGTTCTGAAGTCCAAACTTTTGTACTAGTTCTTCGATTTTATTCTTTTGGTTTATGGCAAAAGTTCCATCCTTAAATTTTTCAATCTTTATGCTGAGGTAGTAGGTGACTTCTCTTAGGTTTTTGATTTCAAATTTAGCATTCAGTTGTTGGATTGTTTCCATTACATCTTCTTCTCTTTCACTTCCTATAAGCATATCATCTACATATAATATTATATATGTGAATTTTTCATTAATGTTTTTGAAAAACAAGCGTGGGTCTGCTTTATTTTGTTTAAATGACATGTTTAGAAGTATTTTTCCAATTTTTAGATTCCAAGCTCTAGCAGCTTGTTTTAAACCATATACAAGGTTGTTCAATAAGTTCGCGGAGCGCCATCTATTCGTCAATATTGGACCTAAAATTTCAACGCCATTTTCATATTTGTTCTTTCTTAGGAACACATCAAAAGTTTCATTTTGATCTGTTAATTTATTCATTGTTTGACCGCCCTTTATATCTAACTTGTGGTGCCTTTTTTCAGGTATGGATCAAATTGAGCAATGTGCAGTTATCAAATTCTTTGTAAAAAAGGTTTAAAGGCAATGGAAATTCATACCAAATGGTGAATGTGTTAGGTAAATCTGCTCCTTCAAAAACAATGGTTTGCAAATGGGCTAGTTTATTAAAAAGTGGTCGTACCAGCTTTGAAGACGATCCATGAGAGGGACGTCCAAAAACTGCATCAACACCGGGAATCATCGGAAAAATACAAAATATGGTATTGGAAGACCGTTTGTTGACTGAAAGAGATTTAACAGAGGCTTTAGGCATTTCATTGGGCACAGTGAGCAATATTTTGAGTGTTAATTTGGGTTTAAAAAACTCTGTGCAAAATGGGTGCCGCATTCTTTAACCAAAAACACATTCGGATGCGACTTTGCCAGCAACATTTGGAGCGTTTTAAGAATAAAAGCGACTTTATTTGTCGATTTATCACAATGGATGAGACTTGGGTCTACCATCATGATCCTGAATCAAACTGCTTACAGGAGGCTAAGGAGTGGTGTGAACCCGGCTCTTCGGCGCCGAAGCGAGTTCGTTCGTGTGCAAAAATCAGCCAAGAAGGTGTTAGCATCGGTTTTTTTAGGATGCAAAAGGAATTTTGTTTATAGATTACCTTCAAACTGGCAAAACAATTAATTCAGATTATTATTGTAACTTTTGAATCAATTAGACGAAACAATTCGTGAAAGAAGACCCGGATTACAGAAGAAGAAAATCATTTTCCACCAAGATAACGCACCTGCGCACACAGCTCAAAAAAACCATTGCTAAAATAACTGAATTGAAGTACGAATTGTTGCAAGATCCAGCCTATTCGCCAGATTTATCTCCCTCCGACTTCTGGCTCTTCCCATACCTCAAACAATATCTTCGTGGAAAACGATTTTTTTCAAACGAAGAGGTAATAGCTGCTGTGGAGGAATATTTTGCAGAGCTGCCAAAAAAACACTACAGTCAAGGGATCTATAAATTAGAAGATCGTTGGAATAAGTATATTGAAGTTGAGGGAAACTACGTTGAAAATAAAGTCATTTTTACAAATAAAAATTGGTTTCTTCATTTTCGTTCTGCGAACTTATTGAACAAACGGGTATAGATTTCTTCAGCTTGCAAACTTTATTTTCATTTCCAGCTTATGAGTATCCTTCGGGTTGAGTCATGTAAATTTCTTCTTCTAGTTCTCCATGAAGGAAAGCTGTTTTGACATCAATATGTCTGACAGACATGTTTTTATACGAAGCTGCACATAGGAAGGCTCGTACTGTTGTGTATTTTACTACAGGAGCAAAGGTTTCATCATAAGTCAGATCCAAACTTCTGGCTAAATCCTTTTGCGACTAATCTGGCTTTGTATCTTTCAATTTTCCTTCTGCATTGAGCTTTGTCTTGAAAGACCATTTGCATCCAAGTTTGGCCATTCAAGGACCATTTCAAAACCACGGTTTTCTTCCTTTTGGTAAATCAACTAATTCTTAAGTGTTGTTTTCTTCTAGTGAATTAATTTCTTCTCAAACAGCTGTTAGCCATTTTCATTTTTCATTTTCTTCCAAGTTTTGGGTTCTGAGGAGATTGGATATTTGGCATGGAATCCGTAGCGATCAGGAGGTTTACCTTTTGTGAGTCTGTTCGATCTTCTGAGTTCCAAAGGTTCTTCTTTGTGTTCTGATATTTCGTCCTCTTCTGGTTCTTCTATTTTTATTTCTTCCCGTTCTGAGCTTTCTTACTTAGAATTTTCTTCATTCTGGTTTAAATAGATGCTTACAGGCTCATCAGTTCCAGTGTATTCAATAAAGTTCAATTCCAGTGTCATACTGATCGACTTATTATAATTTTGTCTCCAGGAATTAAAATTCTGTAGCCTTTACTTCTGCTGTCGGCCGACGAGTATTCCTTCTACAGCAATATCATCCAGTTTACCTCTTTTAGTTTTAT